AGATAAATTCGAAATCTTTTTCTTATGAATTTGCATAATCTTTTCCAAGAAAAAATCGACATTTATCATCCACAACTGGTGTTACACCAACGATTGTTTTTGGTTTTTCATCTCCCGGTTCACTTTTTCGTATTTCTTCTTCTTCCATTTCTTCTTCTTCATTCGATGAATCATCATCGTACGCTTTTCGATGTCGCTATTTGAAACGAAAATCTTCCTTTGATTTCATTCGGAAAGAAAATCAATTTTACTTTGAAGATTTTCTTCCATTTTTTCTCATGTGGAACTTCTCCTTCTTGTGCAGCTTCTTCTTCAGCCAAGATTTTCCGTTCATTTTTGTTTAATTCACTTTTAAAATCAGTCACTTCTACAAAACAACAGATTTCCTTTAACATCAAACAAAGTCTTTGTATTTACTTGGTTTCACTGAATTTGTTCCATCTAATAGAAAAAAATACAAATAAAATCTTTGAAAGAGAGTTAGGAAATCTCGTCCTACTTGATTTGAATGAAGATTCTTTTTCATTTGTTTTGATTAATGGTGTTGTTGAATCATCCTTAAACAATAACATTTTCATGAAATATTTAAATCAAAATAAATTACTTACGATTTTTGTATTTGTTGCATTTTCAGCCATTTTTTCAGTTGTATCAACAGCGGATTCCTGTTGTTTCTCTTCAATTTCTGGTTGTTCATCAATTTCACTTGGAAGTTTCAATTCGGTAATATTTTCATCACTTAAATCGATTAATCTAAAAACGAAAAGTAATAATTTGAAATGAAACAAAGAAGATTTGAATTGTTACCTATGAGAATCCGTGTCCCATCTTCCCCAACAAAGATCAATTCCTCCAATAAACGCGACTTTTTGATCAATAATCAGAGTTTTTTCATGATGTGAATAAAGAAACGAAGATTCAGTTCCTGGTAAAACACGATGATCAGGATGACGAATAACTTTAATATTTTTTTTATTTGGACTTTTTGAAATTAATTTTGCTTTTGTATGTAAACTATTTAAACCAACAACTTGAACAATATCTTTGAAAACCATAACATAAACACGAATTCCTTCTTCCTAGAACACAAATTCGAAATCGGTTTTATTTTTATTTTTGTTTCTTCTCAATGAACTTTACCGCTCGTTTTCCAAGAAGATTATCTAATCTCATTGAATCATCACCATATGGTCGAATTAACATAATTTCTGGTGATAACCACCAATCAGTAATAAAAATTTCTTCTTTTGCTGCTAAAATTCCTTTTGCAACCGCTTCCATATAAGATTGTCCATTGATAAACCATTGAGCAAATTGTTGTTGTCTTTTCGGTGCAAATGAATTGAATGGATGTTGTTCGAAGAGAAGACATTTATTCTTTACTTTATTCAAAGCATCGAACCAAAAGTCTCTTTCGTCTTCTTTTTCAAATTTAATGATCATTGAACGTTGTAAATTTTTTATTCGAATTCCATTATTTGTTCCTGTTTTTCGAAAACCTTGTTGAAGTGTAAATCCTCGATCAATAAGCATTGGGAAACCAATCAATGCAGAATCAGGATTCATATAAACAAAATATGAATCTTTTAAAACGAACCATTTTTGTCCATGATGAAATTTGCATTTATCACACATAAATGGCATTCGAAGAAATATTGAACGACCGCGAAAATCATCATTCGAACGTTTCGCTATTGCACCTTCTTTCACACTTGTTCCCAAACCATGTACAAATGACAATGGACTTACTTCAAGAAATTCTCTCTAAATTAAAAATAAAACATTTCTAACAAATCATATTCCCTCAGCATTAACAAGAAACCGAATCTAAGCCGAAAGTCTCAGGCGCGACACATCCGATTTGCTCTGAAAACGTCGAAACGAAATGGTAGTGATCAATGTGATACTATTACAATGGAATTAAAATGTAGTTTAACTCGTGAATCATGCAATTCCTAACATCAGATAATGAATTGTCTATGAGCTAAAATATATTTAAGTTCGCAGTACTAACTTTACAGTAAATCGTACTTAAAGATCAATACACGAGTATTTACTCGAATTAGTCAAAAATTAAATTAACATATCGTAAAAGTTTTGTTTAGATTTGTCGTTTTGATAATAAAATTCTGCAGAAAAGTTTTTGTGATAAGTCAACTTACCACAGCTATATGTTCACGAAGTTTAGGATGTTTTAAAACTTTGTTTAAATAATCTTGTAAAGATTTCTAAAAAGAGAAAAGAAATATGAAGAGAGAAATGATAAAGACAAATATTATTACACAACGAATTTCGATTGAATATTGATCAATAAAAGCAATTCGATCATTTCGAGTTGGAAAAGCTGGTTGATCATCATTATTTTTCGTTGTTTCTGATATATGACTTCTTTGAAAAGAAAAAAAGAAATTCAACTGAAATGAAAAGCAAAGAAAATCTTTTCATTTACTTATTTAAACTACTCATCGAATGTCCAGTTTCAGTTTCAACATAACGAACAAGAGATTTATGAAGATCATGAAAATGTTTATAACGTTTTTCAATTGTCCATTCAAATTTAGGTCCATGACGAATTATTATTGTATATCTAAATAAAAACAATTTGATTTCAATAGAAATTTGAAATTCTTTCAAATAACTTACAAATATGGATAAAGAAATTCAGTAACAGGATTATAAATTCGTTCAGCTGTGATCTTTGTNTCCGAAACTTCCCTAGCAGACAAAAATTTGCAAAAACGCGTTTAAACGTTCAGTCGGGAACCTCGACTGTGGTCTAAACACGGCAACCAATAAAACGTTAAAACGCTACAGATCAGACATTTTCGGCGATTTAACGGACTCTTTTTACACACTTGAAAAGCTATGCGTTAAATCGCTGAAAATGTCTGATCTGTAGCGTTTTAACATTCTGAAAATGCGAATTACACGTTAACAACGGCGTTTTTGACGTTTTATTATTTGCCGTGTTTAGCCCACAGTCGAGGTTCCCGACTGAACGTTGAAACGCGTTTTTGCAAATTTTTGTCTGTCCGGGTATCATCTCTCAACAAAGAATTTCAACGTAGATCGATGAATCTTCATAGAAACAAACGAAATGTTAAGTTTATCAATTTAATACGAAAAAAGATTTCTCCATTATCATTTTCAACAATATTAATTTTATCAGAGACAAGACACATTTGTCACGAAACTTTTATATCTATTTATTAATATAATCATTGTTCTTTTATTTTTATAAATTGTGTTTCATTGAGTTCATGATGAACAAAGTTATATGAGTGAATAGAACAGTTTAAATATTGTTTCATTGAAGAGAAAGAAAATAAAATTAATAATAAAAAACAGGCGTGTCATGAAGGACAAAATTCATCCAGACTTTATTTTATGACTATTAGATAAAAATATTCATTTGTTTTCTTAATCAATTCTCATTTTCTTCTCTAACAAAACAAAGACGTAATAAAATTCGTGCAAAATTGAGTAAATCCTATTAATCTTTGTCATGTCTAAACTCATAGGAAAATACATGATCAACAATAAAATCATGACTGATAAAACAATCTATTGGAGAAACATGATTAAAAGTTTTTAGAACTAATAACAAATGTTTTCTCAATGTCATGTTACATTCCTACGTTGGATAAGAGAAAAAGAGAGACAGAGAGAGAGAGAAACGGTGATTTTATCAGATATACATCAGTTTTTATGTCATTTCCGTAGATTTAATGAAAAAAGAAAGAGAGAAAGAAGAACAAAAAAGAGAATAAAGAAATAAGAAATACTTGAGAAAAAGAAATCAGATTATTAGTTCACTAACTAACTATTTGACATATTTTGATATTTAATTGAGTGAAGTTATTGATTAAAATCGAAAAGATTTTATCAAATACAAATGGCAACAAGTTTAACATTTAATTCTTATNACAATCGATGTGTCATATGTTAGAACTATCAATCTGTGGCTATGTGTAAATTCAAAGCAATTCATTACTGTTTATGTTCTTATGAAAAATAATGATCATCATATAATCGGTTAAATTCAAAGTTTTAATATTAATTAGAAATAGTTAGATGAATCTCATTTATTATTTTAAATAATCCCTCTCAATATTTAACTTATTATCCTTTATAGTTGAATGAAAATGGAAAATTTGATCTGTAACTTCTGCTTAGACATATCAGACAAATGTGCCATCGAATTCTCGGTTCCAACGAGGAAAATTCAAGTGACTTCATCAGATTTGTTGTTAATATTAGTGGTCACTTATTCTTTCTCAATAGCACAACGATTATTAATCAGTTCGATGTCATTTTATTTCAATTCTATCCACGACAAAAACATCAAAAAGAAAAACAAAAAATGAAGTACAAGAACTGATGTATTTTTGATAAATGTTTCATTATGAAGACGATCCACATAATACGTAAAAAATCCATCCTTCCATGCCCTTGAGAAAACAATAGGGTTAATTGATTTTCCGCGTAACGCATAAGAAATAACAGAGAAACTTTGAGTATCATTCCACAGGCCTGAAATGATTTACATTGATCGAGAAAGGTATAAATATATCCCATACAATAATTAGAAAAAACGTGTAAAAGAATATATGAAATTATTGAAGCTTCGAGTGATGGGTGTGCAAATATACGAAATAAATCGAGATTTGTTTCTGATTAATTATAATTAACTCTTTAATCTTTTTTATTCAAATCTCTCTACACCAAATTCCTCAGGTAATATTTTGTTTATTCGAAAATTCGATTTCATTAAGAAATTTATCTTGTTTGTCTGTATTTCATTCATTCATCCGTCATAGCTAATGTTATTCATCACGATCACAATTAAATCAAACAGTTGGAAAAAAACGATCCGTTTGTCTTATTTAAGTTGATCTTTCATAAACTGAGTTCAAACAAACAACTTTGCTAAAGTAGTTTTATTTCGAATCAATTCATTTTGTGTTTCTTTTTAAACATAAAAATGTTTCTTTCTTCGTGCTTGCTTATCAATACTTAACTTTATTATCAATGAAAAATTACAAACTCTGAATTAAAAAAAGAACTTCTAAATTCACTAACTATGATTTTCGTTAGAAAAAAAAAGAGAAAGTATTTCAGATTGATTTTGTTTTATCCAATAGTTTGATTACTAATAGCTGCGGTAATTGCCGATTGAGTGACACTTCCACAATAATATGTTCCAGTTTCTAATTGAAGAAATTCATTTTCAAATATGAAATATACGAGAAAACTTACGTGTATAATTCGAAAAAGGTACAGTTGTAAGATTAGAAATAGTAGCTGTTGAACTCGAAATGATAACTGAAGGTACATTTGTATATTGATTTGTCCATGTTGATCCCAATGCACCATTAATGTTACTCATTCGTTTTGTTCGACATCGACTATTTCCTGATGATGAAACAGTATTATTTAAACCAGATGATGAACTTTGACTACATCGAGTTGAATAATAAATTGTTGCTGAACATGATATGTATGATAAAGAATATGTTAATGCAGTTGTAGCATTTGCAAGAATACAATTTGACAGAGAACAAAGTTGAATCAATGTATCACTTTGATATTGTTGTAATAATCGATAACACTATTTAAATAAAAGAATTTTCAAGATCTTTTCTTTAAAGCTTTTCTTTACCGCTTGATTTAATGGATAACCAGCAGATACTGCAGTTCCAGCTGTAGCTGCAGAACTTGTATTAAGTGTTGCATAGAGTAATAAATTGTTAATACAGTATGCTTTTGAAAGAAAAAAGGAAACGAATGAAAATCAAGATGAAATATCAAATTTTGAGACGCACTTTCTCCAGTCGGTGTTAGATCTTTTGTTGATGTATATGTTGGGATAAGAGATAGAACAATAGCTATTGCTATGCCAACACATACTGTTACAATTAAACATATACTTACTGATAGAAGTAAACCACCTGTACTTAATCTGAATAGAAAATAAAGAAAAATCTTCTCGAAAATCTTTCGATTTGTTCAACATACAATTGTTTTAATGAAGGCATTTCTACTAGAAAATGATTTGATGATTGCAATAAACATACAACTTGTTATCAATGTCTTTATATAGATCTTCGAAAAGATATCTCATTAGAGAAAAAGGACATGTTTTCTAAACAAATTTCTAATGATTTTGTTCTCTAATAGTGCAAGTGATTATTTTGGGTGCGGCATCGATATCTCATTAGAGAAAAACATCAAAAATTCATTAGCCTTGTCGATCAATAATTAACGAATTTCAACAGAAGATATTTCATTGAATTGACTTTGATTATTTTGTATTTCGTTAACGATTATAGTTGTCTACGATCGTTCATTTTTATCTCAAGGATTTCATTAAAGCTATTCGTTTTCAATATCCTTGAGAAAAAATAACACATTTGATTTATCATATACATGCTGACGATTTGCATTTGAGTGATTTCGATGCACGTACGAAAAATTAATCGTTGTGGAATTCAACTTTCATATGGAAGAAAAAGCAACGCCCTCTATTCTTTGATTTCTTTGTGGAATCTTTTCAACAAATGCTCTTCNAGTAAAAGGAAGTTGAGGGTAAGAACGGAAGAACTGTTGTTTGGAGATGTTTTAGACGAAAACAACGTTTTTCTTTCATATTTAGAAAAAAAAAACATCAGGAAACATGAAAATGGTCGAGGGAATATTGACAAGATGATTCTTTTTTTCTTCATTCGAACATCATCTTTCATTGATTAATAGAAGAACATGATGAGAAATATTCATTCAGATTTTTTTTCTACTTATCAGATTAATTTATATTTTCCTTTTTTTTTTAAATGTTAATTATAAATGTAAAATCTTTTCCATTGGAGATCTTTTGACATAATGTCACATTCATCTGTTTTCTTCGAGAAATTTTCAAATAAAATTAAATAATTAATCTTATCTAAGATAAGATTTGATTTCTTAATAAGGTTTCAAAAGCAAAAGAACCGACAGATTTGAGAATGTTATTCATCTGTTCTTAGTCTAAAGACATTTTCTTCTTGATTATCATAAACAAATTCTATGCTTTTTCATCTTTCTTCTTTCGTTTCTATTTAATTAATAATTAGAAATCTTTATTTCGGTTTCTTTTGCTTTTTTTTTTCTTTGAGAAAGATCTAAAATTTTGATGAATTTAATTTGTCTTACGTATTTTTCTCTTTTGACATTGACTTATTTATGTATATACAAAAGATTGTTAACAAAAGAAAGATAAAAATAGAAAGACTATTGTTTTCAATGAGAATAACAAAAACAGAGATATTGGAATCGGTGCAACATCTAACTGACAGATTTTTCCTTCTGTTTTTTTCTCTTTTGACATCAATGTATAAAAAATCCTGTTTTTATCAGAAGAAAAAACCATCAACATGTTATTCAATGTGTGTGTATTTTGCGATGTTTTCTTAATCTTTAGCTGAAAATAGATCTTTCTCTTCATCTTTGATTTCTCATGTTGAGTTCTTTTTTAGAAAAAAAACATTTGTCGGCAGGATATTTTCTAAATATGATTAATATTTTCGTCATTAAAATTAATTGAGGACAAGATGAGAGGCAAAAACGACAAGTCGACTAAAATGATTAACATAAAAACATCAGATACTCATCGTGTTCTTTTAAGTAGAAAACAACATTGAATACAAATGACAATAGAAATGTTTCGAAATAACACATTCTTATCACAATGTCTTTTCATTTTCTAGTTGATAGAGGAGTAGAAAGATATGAACTTTATGAGTCGAAGTGGGATTGTTGGAATAAAAGATAGACAGAGAGCGAAAGGCATGGATGAAAGGAAAAGAAATGGGTTCTTATTGTTCTGACAGTCGCTTTTTTTTTCCTCTTCGAGAAAAAGAAGAAGAAGAAGAAGAAAAAAAGGAAGTAAAGCACTCGTCATACTCCTGTATTTNTTGATTTCACCAATAACAAAATATTCATGATCGATTTTTCGGAAAAAAAAAAGAAAACATCTTCAAACAGATTTCTCTATGGAAATATTTTCACAAAGAAAGAAAAAATAGGAATTTTTTTGTTTTTCAAATTTCAAAGTTACTATTCATTTATCTTTTCTAATATAATTAGTAGAAAAACAGAAGAGAAGTCTGTCTGAGTAATTGACATTATTATTTGATTTAGCAGTGCCTTAAGCATATGCCAAGATATTCTAATCATCAAGCATGTCTGTTTAACATATGTCCTCGTAACAGATGATGAAGAAGAAATGACGGAAGAACTAATCAAAAGTTTCATATGTCTTTTGAAAAATCCTTTAGGTACATTATGTTTTGGTGTGATTGGTTTAATTGGAAATTTGATATGTTTTTTGGTTGTTTGTCGTTTTGCATTACCTCAACATTCATTTGTTCAATATCTTCGTGCATTGGCTATATTTGATTTTATTTCTTTATTATTTGAATGTTTACAATCATTAAATAATTTACTTGTTTATTTATTTGCAATAAATATTTTAAATTTTCGATCAACAATACTTTGTAAAATTTATGAATATTCAAGTCATGTTACTGTTTTACTTGCATGTTGGACTATTGTGGGTTTAACATTTGATCGTTTAATTTTATTATGTGATCCTTGGGCTAAACAATGGCCAAATTTATCACGAAAAATTTGTAATTTACAATGTGCAAAACGAATTATTTATTTTTTAATTTGTTTTTCACTTATAATTAATATTCCACATTTAATTTATCAACAATGGATTTGTCGTAAATCGGGTTATCGTTATAGTGCAGCATTTACAGGCAAATTTTATTCAAATGAAACACAAAATACTTCAGATCATTTTAATTGTCAATGTCGAATTTCACCTTCTCACAAACAATTCACTGTTCTCTTATATGTTCAATGGAAAATTTATATTTTTCATTTACTTTGTTATACACTTTTACCAGGTGTTATCTTAATTGCAAGTAATGCAGGTAAATTAAGAAAATAATTTGAATTCTTTTATTATAAATAATAAATATTTCTTTTAGCTATTTTACAAGTTATTCATGCACCACGACAAATTGTTGGACAAAAAAATGAACATTTAAAATCGAACTTAACTCGAACATTAACATCTGTATCATTGACGTNAATATCGCAGCATTGGGAATTAATTTTTTCTTATACATCTTAGGTGTTAATCATTATCGTTCAGCAGCTATTCAAATGCTTGGTTTACATCATTTTCATATCTTTTTACCATATTTAACAGTTGAACATCGAAATTCACTTGGATCATTGGGTTTACATATGAGTCAACATCAACGAAGAAATACACAAACAGATAGTTCAAGTATACGTCTATTAAAAATTGTTAATAATGGAAGTCCAAATATATCAGGATATCAAACACGTTCATCAAGATGATCAATTCATATTTCTTATTCTCTTTTTTTTCTCCTTTTGTGATATTTTCCTTGTTTTTCTCCATTTAAATTCAATTCTTATTTCGACAATAAATTACAGATTTTATTTTCATTGTAAATCTTCTATTATAACAATTTATATATTGACTAATAATGACATTTTCGAAGATTCTAAAAATATTCATTGTTTGTCAATAACGAAACAATTTTATTCATTTCAGACTGAATATATTATCTTTTATATTCAAATAAAATCACATCAGAACTATCCTTATTTTTTTAACTTAATAACTATAATATTACGAAAAATTCTTCATTTACAAACATTTTCTAATGATTGTTTTTGTTCTTTTTCTCAACATTATAATTATTCGTGAACGAGAATGTAACTTATACTTATTCTAATTGATTCCGTGACTAAAAGATATCATTCTGATTAAGATATAAATGTAATCAGGTACATTTATTTTATTTATAAACTGAAAAGAATTGTAAAGAATAAAAGATTCCAAAGAAGTTCATCTCAATTAATAAGTACAGTAAGGAAAAAAGATTTCAATTTATATCAGTAGAATATCGTATGTTTGTCACGGATTCTGTTCGACTTCGACAAGATAATTAAAAAATAGGAGAAAATAATTGAGGATGTTGATGGCATTTCATGTTTAAAATTGACATGGTTAGAAACGATAAAGAAGGAATATTTCTGTTTATTGTTAAACTTTTTTTTTTGAACATGATAACGATTACTTGCAAGTAGATGACATTATCCCTGGAGAATATATGTCTGTTTTCAAATTAAATAATCTCAGAAACCTCGAAAATCTTTTGTCATTAATTGACAAAATCTATTTTTTGAAATAATTAAAATCATCACCAATTTGAAATGACAGATTTTTTTGTCTTGTAAAGTGTCATCAGAATAAAAATAATTTGTTTCATTACTAAATTTGACATTCATCTATAGAAACCATTGACATTATTCGAGATCATATAGAATATTCTTTATACTTTACCATTCAACCAGATTAAATCTTTTATGCTATGATTCAATTAAATAATATACAGATTCATCTTTCATATTAAACACATTCTCGTTCTTTTTAATATTTAATCAAAGTACTTGACGTTTTCTCATAGAAAAAAAATTCATTTTAATCGATTACTATTTTGACAAATACCAATTACATTTCATTGATCATGCATAAATTATCTTAAATTAAATAGAAATCAATTTTTCTGTTGTATCACACTATTCTAATATCAATTACAAACAGTTCTTTAAATTCTATACTAAATAATAACATCTCTTTCTTCAATATCTAACTATAATTAATATTATTAATGTTGTTCGTTCATTCGTTCGTTATACTCGAAAACATGACAACAATATGTCATGTCAAAGTTGTAAAATAAATTACCAAGACAGATATATACATAAGACATAGTTAATACTTGCTTCGATGAATGTCATTTGAATAAAACTCATGTTACTATCTAAAGAAGATAAATAACAACGAATAAAGTCGACAGATAATAATATAGTGTCTTTATATATAATTATTACATGAATATACCAATCGACCTACCGTAATAATCAACAAAAAATCATATTGAAAAATATTTCTATTGGGAACATCGGTTCTTTCTTTTGTGTTTGTTAATTAGAGAAAATGAGATGCGTAATTAAGTTGCACACTAAACCATCCGTAAATACGAGAATAGTTTCCAGGTAACAACAAGATATAATAAGAAAAATACGCTTCTTTTTACTAATATCACGTAAATATCTTTTCAAAAAATTTCTTTTTTTCTTTTATCTACTATAACTATTTCGCATTTTTCTATAAACAAAAAGATTTGTCTTTTCATATATGATTTGATAATCCTTCAATAAATAGGAATCGGGAAGATAATAATGGATTACCTGAATTTAAACCCTAGAAAATTTGTTGTTATTCAGAGACGACAAGTTTTCTCCTAACACTTTGATGCGTAATGTAAGAATGAAAATGTTTCTAGTCGTTCGACATAAAATATATCAAGTCTTTATACGTTTTCAATTTCAATAGTTCTTCAACTAAAACCATTTTCACATGTATTTATCTCATCATATATTGTTTGTTTGAATGTAGTGACATCTATCAAAGAAATGAGATTTCTTTCGAATTCTACTGGAAGTATTAAAAACTTCGAAATAAAAATATTTTCAAAAGATTTCATAACTAAATAATGGTTGGTAAGTGAAAATTGATTGGTGGAAATTTCGACCTTTGACGAGAGGATTGCGATACGGGAAAAGAAAAGAGGGGGAAAAAATCTTGAATCATTTCAAGTAATAAAATTTCTTCCGTTTGTTCTGGATTTAGAATGGTAACAAACATCAACAGTTCGTCGAATGAATTGATTAAATTACCATCTGAATTAATTAATATTGTCTGGGGAAATGATATTGAAATGTCGATATTTGAACGATGGTCTCAATCATTTCAATTTTCTATTGATGAACCATCAGCATTTATTCAACATGAAGGTGGACCTTGTTCTGTTTTAACAACAGTTCAAGCACATCTATTAAATGAATTAATCTTTTGTTCACGATGTAATGAAAATTGGCGACAAGCATCATCAGATGAAATCGATCTTCATTTTCTAAATGCACTTGTATCAATTCTTCATTTATTATCATCATCCAATAAAAAAATCTATTTGGCAAATTTCTCCAATGATAAACCTTCTTATACAGTTAAAGAATTTCATGAGAAAATTCAATTTTCTCTTTGTCAATCCAATATTGATTTGAAACAACAAATTTTCTCACGTCTTCAAATGTGGAAAAATTCTTATGGTGTTTTACTTTTTTCTTTATTCATGTTTAATGACAAAAACAATTGATTTATTAAAAAAAGAAATTNGATTTATCACATTGGCCAACAATCGATGGAAAAGCAGGTGGATTATGGACTGTGAGTGAACATGCAGGTAAACGTTTATTATATGTTTGTAATATTGATCAATTAAATCATTTAAATCAATTGGAAAATATTTGTGGAGAAAGAAATTCTTTATTTTAAAATCAAAGATTTGGAAAATAAATCGATTTTTATTGGTTTTCTTTTCTTCAAATAATCATAAAAAGATATGAAACTAGATCTATGTAAAGGTATCTCAATACAATCTCTATAAGACTATGATTGGAATAATGAAAGAAGAGAAGAAGAAAAAAAAAAAGATGTTTGATCATTTGTTTGAATTCTATGATAAAAATCCAAATAAAATTGTTTAGTTGATTTTTTTTCTTGTTAATTCAATATTTAAACCACCTTCTGGTGCATTGACAACATCAGCAGCTGCATAACATGATTGTAAAGTAATCATTTCTCTTTCTGTTAAAACATGATCTAAATTATGATTAATAAAATTGGTCATTTGAGCTTCAGCATATCTTCCAAATTCATCAGATTCTTCTCGAATTGCTAATTGTTGTGCTAAATTAGAAAAACTTGCTTTTAATGGTGTTTGTAAATTAAAATCTTCTTTTGGATCTTCACCAAGAATACATTTATGAACTAATTTCGCTACATCTAATGCATAAAATTCAAGCCAAGCTAAAATTGATTTATTAGAATTGTTTGTATTTTGTTTTCGATCAAATTGTTTGGCTAATTTCATTAATTCTTCTTTATTTGGTCTTTTTTCTCCAATCATTGTTTCCCAAGCTAAATCAAAATCAGTCATATGTAATGATAAAGCTGTATTTCTCATAAAATCTCGTGCTGATTTGCCACAAATATACATATCATGTAATTCTGTGCGATTAATTGAATTTAAACCTTCAAAAACACTTAAATAAGTTAAAAAATGTGTTCCACTATGTGCTGAAATTCTTTCAACAGTAATTGCTCGATTATTTAATAATTTTGGTTGATCACCTCGAATACTTCTTACAGTTATTTCATCTGTATTCGATCCAGTTGCACCACGTTTCGATGGACGCGAACTGAGATTTCCTAAAATAACCGAAACCCACGGTGCATTTGCAAATAATTGGTTAAAACTATTATTTCCCGATTCAGGATTTTCATCATCATCAAGATTTCCCATAAATTCTGTATAAGTTTGTCTCATTTGTTGACAAGCTTGATGAAAATTATTAATATGATGATTTTGATCATATCCATCAGGTGCACGTCGTGGTGGAACATAATGTGTTCCATCAGATTTCAATTCAGTTTGAACACGAGCATGAAGATTTTGTGCAATTAAAGATTCTAACATATGTAAACAAATTGATGTTGGAGAAAAAAGAATTTGCATTTGATGACCTTGAATTGTTAATAATGATGGACCAATTGTTTTCGCATGAAAATATCGTGCAACACGTCCATTATTATGTGGAACTTCAGTGACTCGACCACCACCACGTTGTAAAGCAGCACCACCACCACTAAAACCATTAATTGTTAAATATTTTAATTCAGGATATTTTGAACGAAATTCTTCAACCATTGCATAAACTTTTCCTAATGCTTCTTCTTGAGATGATTCAGCACCACGACCATTTCTTCTTACTGTATCACTTTTAGCAATCATTGGAATTAATTTTCCACGAAAAGATAAATGTTTTCGATAAATTGGATCTTCAATTAATTCAGAAATTAAATTTGGTAATTGATTTAAATCACTGACTGATTCACTTAATGTGACAATATCGAGAACTGTTCCTTTTTCAGCAACACAATTTCCCGTGGCTTTTAAAAGAAGAAAAACACCTAAAACATTGACAATCGATTTCGTTTCTGCAATGATTAATTTATTAAAAATATCCAAATCATTTGGAATTAATTTCAATCGACCAAAGATTCTTCCAGCTGTTTTATTACTTTTCGTTAATTCATCTTGATTCGTTGATTTTAACTTGTCAATGGTTTTCTCATCATTTAACCATTTATTAATCAAATCTTTTTGTTCTTTCAACGATAGAGATAAGAAATCATCATGTAATTGATTGACTTTTAATAAATGTTGTAAAGTTTGCATAATATCAATGGCATTATGTCGAATATCAATTTGTGCATAATAAAATTGAAATGTTCGAACTTTATAAATTAAATCATCAGTATTTTCAAGTTTTTGTAAATCTTCAATTAATTGTTGTGGTGTTTCATAAGAATTCTCAATTAATTTTTGTTCAATATGATTTTTATTTTGTGAAGATAATTGTTGAATATCATTTAAATATAATTCTTTAATTCTTTGTTTTAATTGTTGAATGGCTTTTTTAAGAGCTTTAATATCAGCATTTTCATTTCCATCACCATCTCCTGCTGGCCAAATTGATGCTTGAATTCTCGGAATATTCACATCAAGAACTTTTTCATAAGTTGGATAATTTTTCAATGTATCAATAAGTTGTTCTCTTAATTTTGGTGCTGTTTCATAAATCATATCAAGAATTGCAATTGTTTCATTTACTTCATCTTCAATTGTTTTCTTTTTTCCTGCTAAAGGTAAATCTTGAATGATTTTTAAATGTTCTGTATAATCTTGTTGATCATCTAAATATTTATCAAATCGAATTCCACCTTTAATTGTATATTCCATTGATGTTGGATTTGTTGGATGCATTGTTAAACTAAAAATAGCAAAAGCATTTTCATCGTAGAATTTTTTCACGATTTCTGGTTCAACATTTTCTTCGAACATTCGTTTGAGAACATAATCGAATTGATCAGCAGTTGCCGTACTTTGAGGATTTTCAATTTTTTCATTGTAAATCTTTGCATTGACGAATTTTCGAACACGACGTTCTAAATCCATAATTTTTGCATAATATTCCAATAATTTTTCTCGATCAACACTTCCAAATGGTAATTCATCAAGAATCTTTTGATAAACATCAATTCGTTTTTTTCGATCACCATTTGTTGAAATATGAAAGATCTTTCTCAAATAACCGGCGATTTTATTGTTTTCTTTCGCGATTTGACTAATAAATCGATATCGAATCGTTTTTTGATCATCGGACAATTCAAGAATTTCATCTTCCATGATCAATCTTATCTAAAAATAAGAAGAAGAACAAACAAAGTTTACCGAGTGTAAGGAGAAGAACAAGATTTTATTATTGGCGCATTCGATGTATCAATCAGTTATCGAGGAATGTAATTCATTTATTCACGTTCCAACAAACAAAAAATTCTTTTCAAATCAAAACAATTCGTTTGATTTCCAAATGTAATGGAGATAAAAACTTGTACAGAAGATGGAGCTACATATAAATTCAAATGGAATCGAGTCACCCCTAATAATTCGTGTTTCTTCTCACCTTTTTTATTTATTTGTACGAAACCTTTCTTATTGATGAAAAGTATATATATATCGATAAGAGAACGAAAGGTAAATGTTATATTTTCTTCTCTTTTCTGGATTTCGTTAAATAACATCGAAATCATATTAAATCATTCATGCACAGATTAATCAATCAAAATCCTCAAGAATTTCTTTTCATTTTCTTGACCAAACTTTAAAAAAACCAATGGTATGAAAATTTCTGTTGACCTATACTTATCATCAATATCTTTCATACGAAACTTCGCTTTCGTATATATTATTTTCCTGTTCAATTTCATTCAATGTATTTCGATCACAAAGGAAAAGAAAAGAACACAATGTATTTTTAAACTCTCTTTCTTTATGTGTACAACTTCACAACAGATGTCGATAATACTTTATGTTCAAAATTCGTCGTAGTTGACAGGTTATGACATTCCTAACATGCAACCTGCCCTTTAAAAATTTTCGTAACCTTATACCCTACTCTACCCTGCAAAAGGTGTAAGTCATCCCCTAGACTTATTCCACGACATCAGTGAATTGATTAACAGCGATCCTTTGTCCACAGAAAAGTGAAATTCAAAATCCGTGAATATTCACAAAATTTTTCGATCTGAGAAAAAAGAGTTTGGTTCAATCAGCAACTGTACGTTTGTCTCATTGATTTAGATCCCAATCATAGTTCACTATTGATGAAATTAACAGGAAATCTTCATCCCCAATCGATGAAAGTCGTTTAATTGGGGCCACACCGACCACTACCTAGAAGATTCGTTTTGCTAATTGCAGGTAATTCGAAGTTATCTACAGGTCATATTGAGCTTTTTGATTAGATGATAACAGTACTATTCCGGCTGCATAGTACTAACAATGAGTCCGTAACAGTTTAACATCACATGGAACCTATCTTTCGAGTAATTGTATCAAATAATCTCTCTTTCTTAAACAGTAATGTCATTGTGAGGATTTCTGTAGACATATTTGGATATTACATCTATAATAACATTTCTCTTGCACAGTAATATAGCATCGATTCTCATCAATATGTTTCTTTTCTGCTTTCGACACGCTGGGACTGATGACAACTCAGTATAAATTGAAGAATTAAGGCAAATACTTGTTATTCGGATGTGATTTACCAAGTGCCTACTGTCACGACATTGTTGAAGAATCATCTTCTTCAGAACAATCATCGTCAAAGTTTCAACTATAGATTCTCTACATGTGATGCCCATTCAACGAATACGAAAAAAAGATCGATTAGATTTCTCAACAAATCACACCATAAGGTTGTATTTATATGTGTTCTTTTCGATGACATGCTCAGGTGATTGATTTCACATTTTCACCCTCAAAAAAATCTCTAGACAACGATGCTCTTTATTGATATTCTTACTTATTTCTTTATTCAATCTGTACACATTTGGATGCATCCGATACAACACAGTTCGGACAAGTAGAGGATCGATGAAAAACAGATATAAACCATATTTGCTCATTGAGATCATCGATGTTCGGTTCACTCTCTCTCCTTGTCCGATCCAAATAACACTGGAGGAGATGTCTCAGACGTCTGTCTATAAACCACATAGAGACAATTTTCTACTTACGTATCGGTGATTAAGCATCATGAAATTTCCTGAACAATGAGATGGACGTTCGAAATTTCTTCCCTATGCTTGTGATCAGTCTTTCTATAAGTGACAGAAATGGATAGCCCTTCAAGTTACAGTTCTATCTTGAAGTGAAACAATTGCGTATATTAACTATCCTGAAAGTCTTGAGGATTAGTCAAATATGAACACTTTCATCGTTTTTGAATAAATAAAGTGGACATATAGCAAAAGTAGACAAAGGAAAGAAGTTTTTATTCATGCAGAAAAGATCTCTTTTCCAATATGTTTTAAAAGACAAGAGAAGTGTGACAGTGGTAAAACTTAGCAACTGATCAGAGTTTCAGTATAAAATGACAATCACAGAATTATTCTTGAACGCCACATGAGATGTTTATCACACTTGACAGCTGATGATTTTCGTCTAGTTCACGATTAGAAGCTAATCGTTCGCAACGTGTATCATATGTAAAACTCAGTGATATCCATCAGTAACCGAATGTATTTTCCTTCACGATTGGATTTGGTTAGAATCTATCTTACAGTAAACTCGAAGCTCATCGGTATTTCCAGAAGAGCGAATAAAATAAAGAAGAGAGCGATATCTCGAAAGAAAATAGCTCTCGGTCGACAAATCTGATGCTGGATCCGATCGGATCTGACTGGAAAAATTCAGTCGGTTATTGCAAATTTTATAACCGATCTTTTCAGCTATATTCTATGATGACCCTTAGAAAATCCATGTTTCGGATCCGCCGAATTCTTGTAGGATTCGATAAAATCCTATGTTGGATATGAGTATGGGATTCATCGACCTGGAAAGACAATCATTTCTTCTTTTTTTTTTTATCTATGTGCTCATTAATTCTACATCGGCAGTACGGATCGTTATCTGTTCTTACCTGTTTCAACAAAACAGTATAAATATGTCATCATGAATAATAATACTATCTCTCAACCCAGGATGATGGTTCCTGAAGCAGGATTCCATGAATTTCCGACAAAATCCCTGAGGAAACTCGCCATTCCTGAGCGGAACCCGCCCTGGAAATGTCAGAAATCCGATGGAGAAATGCAGCAACCGTTTCTGGCTACTGGCTTTGACATGTTCCTGTCGGTTCCAGCCCAAACCAAATAAATTCGGTCACCAGAACTGGCCGTTTCCGTGCCGGATTGTTCGACCTGGGTAACACATTACTGATTATCCAACATACTAGTCAGCAAAACCGTGTAATCGTAGGTAAATTACTATTGATTGAGTCCCTTTAGTAGAAACGTTACTTGTGATGCCATATCTAAGTGATTATGTGGAAGTTGTCTCTCCCGTGATAATTAGATTAATTAGTCTGTTAGAAAAAAGACTCAGCCGTTCTTTCTCTACAGAAAGTGTTAAAACGATGTCTTTCTATAAATGTAACCGTGACCGACGTCCGTTCATATTTTATTCCCATTGTTTTCTTTTCTTCATGAAAATTAGACTACTTTTCTTTCAATAAAAATAGCCGATAGTTTATCATTGCAACATGTATTAGGCCTATTTGATAGAAAAAGATTTCCGTATATATTTTTAAAATGGCTATTGCAACTCGCTCCGTATGTTTCACGTGAATTCACTTGTTTGTTTTTCATATTTCTTTCATTTAGAAAAATGAACTGGCTTTCGATATCGTCAAACACGCCATTAAACTGGACGCACTGAAAGCAACGCCGGTTTATTTATTGACAGCGGCTGAAAGACAACAAGCTTATGAATTACATAGGGTAGTCAATAAGTTCTCTGAATTTTCTATGTCTCTCTCGGACAATTGTAATTTCCTCGTTTTTTTGCATTATATATTCGAGTTAGTTGGTGTGATATTATATAGAAAGTTTCATCATTCTAGCTGTCGATTCTCTTGATATCCTAATGAGATAAATGTTGAGTAAAAAAATGGCTCCTTGGTTATTGGTGAAATTTTACTAATCTTTTCGGTCATGAAATCTTGATAAATCCATCACAAAGTAAACAGATTTAGTGTGATAGAATTCATATACATCCGACCGAACTTCAACATCATTATTATTGCGAGAGAAACTAACTTTTCGCAAACGAGTTTTGTAGACTATAGTACGAACTACCGTAGAATGCGTTAACAGTCTATGTTCATTAGACCGGTTTTGGGTATGCATGATTTGTAAAGCAGCTAAGAAAACTATTTATAGTATTTAAATGTACGAAAGTTCACCGAGATCAAATTTATCTTCATAAAACCGTATTTTTATGCATGAGGCTACTTAGTGGCTTTTAAACAACGTAATAAGTAGCGTTGTCATATTCTCTGAACACAATCAAATGAAACTACGGCTAATGCAGTATATTCACCTTGAACTAAGCATTCAGTATACTAGGCCGTAAAACGAGTAAAAGAGAGACTAGCGAATAGCCAGCTGTATCTTTTTGTCAAATGTCAATAACCAAGGAGCCATTTTTTTACTCAACATTTATCTCATTAGGATATCAAGAGAATCAGCTAGAATGATGAAACTTTCTATATAATATCACACCAACTAACTCGAATATATAATGCAAAAAAACGGAGAAATTACAATTGTTCGAGAGAGATATAGAAAATTCCGAGAACTTATTGACCACCCTATGTAGAACTAGAATTTAGTCGTTTGAAAGAAGAACTGAAGAATTTATTGGTTATGGATGGTGAAATGTAAACGCTCTGGAAAAGCAACAGCTATAGTTTGTCGGACATTTGTTTTGCTTAATACTCGCGCGCCATTTGTCTACAACAATGGACATTTTCATTTCTACACTTGCGTTATCTACATATTGATTTACTTTCTTTGGTTCATGTTGTTTGATACCTCTCAAGATGTTGGTTTTCTTTCTTGTTTTAATGAAAAGTTATTTAAAAAAAGAGAAGGTAGAGTCGGTTGTCGACTAGTAGAACTAGTGAGGTGACACTAATCGTTCGATCAAATTGTTATCGGGTTGTCATTTCCTAGTCTGTTTCTTCTCTCGAATAGTAGGGTAGATGTATTTTGACCAAAGAATGACGGACAGAATGGATCAACGGGGTGATATAGGGAACAAGTGTCCGCCGAGGAAGCAGTCGGACGGATGCACCTCGAACATTTCTTGTATCACTTTTAGCAATCATTGGAATGAATTTTCCACGAAAAGATAAATGTTTTCGATAAATTGGATCTTCAATTAATTCAGAAATTAAATCTGGTAATTGATTTAAATCACTGACTGATTCACTAAGAGAAGAAAAAGATGTTATCATTGGTGCATTCTATGTATCAATCAGTTATCGAGGAATGTAAAAACTAGATTTTCAAGTTAATGATTTTCAAATGTAATTGAAATAAAATAAAAACTTCCACAGAAGATGGAGCTACATATAAATTCAAATGAAATCGAGTCACTCCCAATAATTCGTATTTCTTCTCATCTTTTTCATTTATTTGTACGAAACCTTTTCTATCGATGAAAAGTAAGTATATCGGTAAGAGAATGATAGGTAAATGTTATATTTTCTCCTCTTTTCTGGATTTTATTGAATAACATCGAAATCATATGAAATCATTCATGTAAATGAATAGATTAAAATCTCCAAGAATTTTTTCTCTGATTTTTTTAACCGAACTCGAAAGAAAAACGTATTACTATGAACATCTTCGTTGACCGTTCTGCTTGAATTGTTTTCATTGTTGAATTATATTCATCGTCAATATCTTTTGGATAGAACTTCGTTTCTTTTTTTTGTATTTTGAAAAAAAAACAAACTTTTACCTTGTTAGCGGACATTTATCGTGACAAATCAGTTTGTCAACATGTCGATGCTTTTCAAGGTTTTTCTTGCGAAAGAAATTGTTCGGGATAGAAAATATCTCAAGTCGAGTTGAAAAAAAAAAGATTTTTTCCTTTTCATAAATGATCGGTTCGATAATTTTTCTTTTTCTTTCTTTCTCCATATGCAATAATTTACCTCAATGTGTCTCTCGACAAAATAACTCAATCAGTGAGGTTGATCGGCATACTTCGATGAAAACACATTTTCTTTTCCTATAAAAATGGATCTTTTTCATCGAAGTCTTTCCCATTCGCAATTCGTAAGTGAAAATGATTTTGAATTTGAAAAAATATTTTTTTTTTGTCGTTTTAAGAATTTCGATTGTGACGAANTGGTATCGGTTCAGCTTTGATGAAATTATCATAACTTGTTATTGGTGGAAGTGTAACTAATGGAGCTTCAGCTTCTTCTTCATCTTCTTCTGATAGATCATTTTCAGTTATTTCGGATTCAATAACATGATCTTCGGGAACATATGTTTCCATTACAATAAAGATCTAGAACACAAGAAAAGATCTTCTCTGACTCTGATATCCTGAAATGAAACATTTTCTATTTGTCGATATGTAATTATATGAATATTATCTGTTCGTGGTGAAAAATGATGACCAAATTCACTGGCAAATCCATACTTCCGACTGTTTTATGATTGCAAAAGATTACTATACACGACGATCATTCGTCTTCGTTTTTCATTTCTAATGACTCAACTCTCAATCGATTTGATCCAATATCCATAAATTATTTAATTTTATAAAATTTTGTTCTCTATTTGGGAAAAATTTTCTCATTATGTAAAATATTTCTTCATTTAAAAAAATTAATTCTTTTTTTTCGAAGAAATACATTATTTTTTAAAGTAGAGCGACATCTGTTGACCATTATGTGTTGTATCTTATACATCGCAGGAAAGCACAGGTATTCGGTTGTGTCTCTTTGAGCAAAAAAGCAACCACAGCTAATTTCTTCACTGATATTCATTATCAAGTTCACATGTTTGCCCATCATTGTCATTCTCACTCTCATGTTTGATCTCAGCCATCTCCTGGATCTAGAAACGCGTTATTGAAGGATCCATGTAAGATCGTATCGCTACACTTGCTCCCCAGACCTAGTTGAAATCCAAACAAAAAATGGAAACTGAGTACAGTAAAACCTCTCTATAGTGGACACTCCCGGGACCATTCAAAAGTGTCCACTATATAGACGTCAGGTATTCTGTAGAACAGCTCTTTCTGACATAGAATACACCTGTTGTATAGCTACTTAAACATTGCTAGTGAATAGTACAAGATGCTACTGTGTATCGTTACTTCTTCCTACATTCATTTTTGCTCTCAAAAACTGAATACTTGACAAAATCTAGTCGAATTTCTCTTATGAGCACCAACAAACTTTTTCCAAAATCTTCATCGTACATTATTATATTCAAATGTCCACTGTAGAGAGGTCCATTTCCTGCTAAAATTAACATTTGGTACCTCCAGAACTGTCCACTATAAGGGAGTGTCCACCATGTAGAGGTTCAATTCCAGCAAAAAATGCTCCGTGGGACCACGAAGCGTCCACTATAAGGAGGTGTCCACTATATAGGAGTGCCCACTACGAGAGGTTTTACTGTATGTACACACTTTTGTATCCGTATGCATTTTTTGGATGATATTCACGATAGAACCACGTGTTTTGTTTTGGTAAACACAACATCAAACGAACTTTCTTTGACTAGAATCAACGAATTCGTTTCCATTTTCTTCGTTGATCACGTTCTCCATTCATCCGCGTTCTCTTTCTCGTCAGCACAACACGTTTATATAGCCCACTCGGGTATAGAATTCGCCATTACGTCTTCGTATTAACCAGAATATATGGCCGAGTCCGGGAATTATGAAAAAATGTCCTCGATAAGTTTCACAGTATGTAAAATATCATAACATTTCATTTCAAGTCATTTACTGAAATATTTCATTTATAGCTATTAGCACTGGCGCGATTAGAAATCGAAACACGAGCAGAATCAGCTAGCTTATCTGAACAATTACGTGAAGCTGAAGCCAAACACGAACAAAAGGCAATAGAAATTATCAAATGTGCGGAAAAAGCACACGAGCTCAAGTCAATCGTGAAACGCCTCCTCGCCATGGATAATCGTCACGAAACAGAAGAATGTGCGAACGATTCAAAACATATCGAACAAAAATGTGGAAATGTTGCAGCAGCTACTGTACATCATTCTTTGGATTTACAAGATGGTGAATATGAAAATCCAGACGGAGTGGACGAAGACGAAAATGTACAAGATAGCAATGTCCATGAAGATCCAGATGGAGTTGACGGCGACAAATATGATGAGCATCATTAGAAATGGTGGGCTAGTGGCTGGTGAATTCGAACAAATGATATTGGCCACTTTCATTTGTTCGACTTGTATATCGGTGTGAAGCTAGCACCAGATAACGAAAAATCATAAAAATCTTATGTTCAAATGAATTCCCATCCGTGGAAATAGACTCATTCGACGCAGAATTTAATTCTACATCGAATGGTGATACTTTCATTCGCCGGGCAAACTTTGGAAAATTTTCTATCTATATCTTTGTTCGTTTCCTTTATGTCTATTTAGAATCCAGATAGAATTTTCCCTAAGTTTGTCCGGTGAATAAAAGTACCATCATTCCATACAGAATTAAATTCTGAGTCGAATGGTGTAGTTTTCGTGGACGGGACATATTCCCAGGTTATTATGGCACGGTCGGTTCCGGCCGGTTAGGTTCGTTTTCCGACCATTTCCTTGCCGCCGGAACCGACTCAGATTTCAACGGATCCAGTCGCCGGAATGATCGACCTGGGTTTAGTAAAAAAGTTTTTAGCTAACATATCGTTTGTTTGTGCTAGCTCCTTCGTGCTAGCTTCACACTGATGACTTGTATTTTCATGGAAAGTTCTTAACACATGTAATAAAAGTTGATCACATTAATTAGCAAAATAAATACACATGATAGTTTTTCAAGCTTTGATGCACTCATTTCTGACATATCCTTTATTAATATTTATCCATCGTTGACAAAGGAAATAGTCATTCGTTGGATGTTTTATTCTTCTATCAAATATATTTTATATACAAAATAAGAAAAGAGAAAATATTTGTTTCGTTTATCAGTCAATGATCGGAATAGATTAGATTCGAGGTTGTAGTTGTCGTAAGCGTTTATTTTCTGCTCGAAGTCGTTCGATTTCATCGATTAATTGTGCGTTCAATGAATGTGATTCAATTTGTTTCATTAAATCATTCTACAAGAATGAAACGAGAAGATAAAGAAAGAAATTTTTTGTTTTCACTCACTCGAAGTTTTTCCAATTCAACGATGAAATTCATTTGCATTGAAAGTTTTGTTTGAGCAAGATCATCTTTGAAATCTTCTCGTAAACAATCAACTCGATTATCCAACAAAGTTTTTAATGATTCGCTCATTTCATTTGTTCTATCTGGTTCTATTAAAATAATGAAAATCGTTTCCTGTTCGAAGAATCTCAACTTACTGTGACCATTCTCAATTGGAGTGCGCGAAGAAACGCCACATAATTGAGCGAAATCTTCGAAACTCATACAATCATTCGTATTTCCACTTGAAGTTGACTACAATACGAATCCATTGTTAAGTAAAAGAGATAAATTAGAAACTGCTTACTATTGGCTCAGAACGATCATTACGATCTAAATAGAAGATTAATTTAGACAAACAACAAAGAAATGAATAAACAACTTACGTTGCCGTGGTGATGATGAACCTTGAAGAAAAAGAGAAAAAAAAAGGTGACGAATTCATTTTCAACAAAGAAATCTTTTACTTTGATCATTGATAGTTGTATTGTTCGATGTAATTGTTGGTGTATTTGATTTCGTTGTTGTTGATGAAAGTGAAGAAAGTGTTCGTTCACGCGATTGTCCTGTTCGTGGTTGTGTCCCATAAGATCGATTTGTTGTCACTGAATCGATCGTTGTTGTTGGTGATTGAATAGAGGATGATGATGTATGACGAGAACGTGTTGTCTGTTGAGCAAATGTACTCATTCCTTTGCTTGTCTATAGAGAAATTAAATCGATTTTCAAGAAAAAAAAAAGTATTTCGAACTTCTTGTGAAAGTGTTGTTGGTCTTTGAAGAGTAGATGATTGTGATGTTTCATATCGAACAGAATAAACATTTCCATGATCTGCATTAACTAAATGTGCTAATTTATTCTTTGGATCACGTAAATCATAAACAGATGCATTTTGTCCCATTGTTCCAACAGCAACTAATGAACCATTTGGATGAAAATCAACACTGGTTAATGGAGCATAAATACTTATTGTTGATAAAACCCTTCGAAATTCAAAAATATTNCCAAAATTCTCACTATCTCGCCACTGAGCATACCACTAGATAGAGCTCGCCGAGTTCTACTTGGAACGCTGATTGGAACGGTTGGAACGCATTCCTAAACGAATATGGAAAGCTTTTACTCGAATATGGTGCTAACTTCACCGACGTGAAAAAGGAGTGAGCTCCGTTTCAATACTCTGTCGTTTCTTATATCGTGATTCTGATTGCATGCTAAATTGTTTATTAACAATAACAATTTAAAAAAATGTTACGATTGAAATATCCATGATTTCGATACTCATGCTCGCGATTTAACGAATTAATCTTTATCGTTTCTAGAATCGGATTCCACCTGTAGATTTGTTAGCCACAGCAAATGCAACAATCGGTGCTCTTCGACAACAACTAAACGATTTAGCAAACGATTAGGGAAATCTTTTAGAAACTATCAACAATCAGCGTCGGACAATCGTAAACTTGGAAAAATCACTCGCCGAAGCGATGAAGCGATTAAATCGGTTATTTTGGACCAGTGAGTTGATAGTTGAAACGTTTTATGAAAGCGTCAGTTGACCACGTTCTTTTTAGATATCATTTTAGTAGCAGTTATCCGGTTCTTATTATTCTCATCTTCTTCCCGAAAATGAAATGATCTTTTTCTTTTTTTCCTATGTAAATAAAATTTCAATATTCTGCACAACATTTCGATTTTCTTCGTCTTGAATTTTGCAGAAATAATAACAATTCAATCAGGTTGTTGCACAGATTTTCATCAAGTCTTTTTGTCTAACCAACTTTGCAACGAACAGAGAACTGTCAGTACTTAGTACTGGCGAATGGCTATGAAAGGAGAGTTCATACATCTCGTTTTTATGAACTGAAATTCACTCTTGGCCCCAGGGTTACCAACTGTTCAGGTCTCAAATGGGGTATCGGAGATGAGAAATGGGGTGCACGAGAGGTACAGATTTCCTCCAAATAGGGTACAGACGTGAGGTACAAAATTTCTTCGGAAATATATCAGATCTATTCGAAGCAACCCACAAAAGACTTATTATTACCGGAAAATCATTTTATCTTCTCTCTCTGTAAGATATGTTGTGAGATATTTGTTTTCAGACAAAAAAGTCATATAAATAAAACCAGTTTCAATATGTTTCTTAATGAAAAAACTGGAATGCACAATGATTTTTCGATTTTCTTCAAACCAGTTAAAATAGCAGCATGTAAACTTCTCAAATGCAAGGAGTTTAATCGATTCAAGATCGACTGTGACTCCCAGGACGTCGTGAGAAATGTAAACTAAGAAGACTAGTTATTGACAAACGACAATGCTTTATTTATATATAGTTCACTCATCAGATAATGAAATTCCCGTATCGTCACAACTACGATAATACTGCCAGAGAATCACGGTCTCTTTTTAAAATTTTTTGCTATAATCATCAACAATCAGTATTTCCACTGTCAAAATCGTACACCGTCCACGATCTTGTAGTGAAAATCAATGAAAGTCATCAGCTTTAGCAACATATATATTCATAGTTTTATCATTAGTCTAATTACTCACTTGCAGTAGAGCCATCGACTCTTTTTTTAACTGATGAGACAGAATAGTTTAATACGGTCAGTTTGTTTAACTAAAGTGATGTGATCGGTTAATTGTCACCACCTTGTTGAAAGAGTTTCAGAAAATTCTCGATCCTGGAAATAACTTGCGAAATCATCTCTTTAACAATTGGAGCAAAGCCCACGACAAGATTGTGAAGTTTTAAGCAATTTGGACGACGTGGTTTTACATTTCTCATCTGCGCGAAATTCAGGAGAGAAATTGTAGCAAAAAGGCTGCTCTAGTTTTTAATAAAAAGATGCTACACTACGTATTGTTTCCTCGTAAGAGTTTATTGAAGAATATCGAGATGGGGTACAGTTGGTAATCCTGCTCCGACTTGAGATCATAGTAGTGTTACCACCCTGTACTTACTAAAAATCATCTATATGATTTTGTTTTTTTTATATAAGTGATGCCAGACATGTAATATGTATATCAATGGGGGTTTCATATTATCTCAGCTTGAGGCATAATGTTTAATTATCAACACAAAGCCTTTGTACTGTCGTGAGTGCACATATTGCATTTTCTAGAAATGCATATCTTTTCCGAACTCTATATGTCTTTTCTTTAATTAGATGTCACGTTATTTTCTCCCTTTTCCTTTTGCATCTTTCTTACGAGATTAGACTTCATAACACATATATCAACGTATCAAGTAGCAGGTATTCTTAGAGTTCAAATGTCATCGAACTCATCCGATGCGATATTGATTGCAAATCTACTTTCGATCTCAACTGAAATGAATCGTTATTTCCCGATTCTAATTTTTCTATTGGGTACCGTTGGTAATATTTTAAATTGTCTTGCACTATCTCAACGAACTCTCCGTTCGAATCCATGTGCGTCGTTCTTTCTGGCGTCATCGTTTAGTAATTTAATAACTTTAATTTCCGGTGTTGCTATTCGTCTGTTAGCAGGTTGGAACGCTGATTTAACCGACACGAATAACTGGATCTGTAAAATTCGTATTTTCGTTTTGTTTACTTCACGAACTGCTGCTTCATGGTTGATTACATTCGCAACAATCGATCGATGGCTTTCATCATCGATTGATTTGATGATCGGTGTGAAGCTAGCACGAAGGAGCTAGCGCGAACAAACGATGTGTTAGCTAAAAACGTTTTTACTAAGTATGTCCCGTTCATGAAAACTACACCATTCGACTCAGAATTTAATTCTGCATCGAATGATGGCACTTTTATTCACCGGACGAACTTTGGAAAATTTTCTATCTATATCTTTGTTCGTTTCCTTTAGGTCTATTTATAATTCAGATAGAATTTTTCCAAAGTTTGTCCGGTGAATAAAGTACCACCATTCGATGCAGAATTAAATTCTGAGTCGAATGGTGTAGTTTTCATGGACGGGGCATACTTAGTAAAAAACTTTNTTTTTCTACCCAAAATCCGTAAATTTCTCACGATAACTATTTTCAAACAGAACTTTCTCTCTCTCTCTACTCGGTTAAATTGTAATAATTACAAAGTATTTCTGTCAGATGATTAAACCATAAAAGCATCAAACAGAATTTCTACATCATAAAAGATAAATATCTTTATTTCATTTTGATCTACGAGATTAAAGCAAATATTTCCAATATTCATAAAAAAAAACTTGTGTATTTTTATCGATAGATGGCGTAGTAAAACGATGTTCTAATGTTCTGATTCTGACAAGAAATACTGTGTATGATAGAACGATAAGAAAGTGAAATATAAAGCTCATTTCCTATTAAATAAATAAAACGAAAGCTTTAAAGTCGTTGTACGGATTATTCGAAAGAGTTATCTCGATCTCGAAGAGAAAGCCTTTCTTCGGGTATTTTGATGTTCAATGGATAATACAAGATGAACCATTGCTCTTGAACATGGAACATGTCTGTCGTTGCTTTTCTATTTGCATGAAAAAATAAACTATGAAATAAAAGAAATATTTCTTGGAAAATGAGAAAAAAAATAAGTATGAAAAGAACTTCTGTTTCTCTTAAATAAAAATAGTGTGATGACGATAGATGTCACTTTATCTGATATAAAATCAATTTCTTTTCAGAATAATTTTATTTTTTCAAAATTGAAATAAAAAAATTGTTCTCAAATAAACATTTCGAAAAAAATCTTCGGAGGATAATTTACAAACAAAATGGTTGGGAAGAAAAAACTGTAAAAAGTGTTTATTGTAGAGTCATTTGATAAATTGATCTGTGAAGGTTAAACAATGACTGCCGACTGATTTGTTTTCTTCATGATTTAATTGAAGAATATCAAAATATGTTTTTCAAATTTATCTTATTTCTTTTATTAAGTAAGAATACATAAAACTATTCATTTTTTGGAAAATTCATCGTACATTGTTTTCCTTTGTTTAAGTAAATAAAACACATAGTTTGAAATGTATGAAATCAAGTCCATCAAATTGTATTTATAATTCAACATGTTTGTACAAAGAAAAAGAATGTAAAGAAGATGGTTCATCAAATGTTCGTGGAGGAACTTTTTGTTCAACATTGATCAAAATTCAAAATAATGAAATTTTGATTGGTGATATGGATTGTATGTTCGATCAAGAAACAACAAAACCATGTAAAAACCAATCACGGTGTCAAATGAAATTAACAAGAAAAAATGATTCATATCTGCATTGTTGTTGTGATCAATCATTTTGTAATCGAAATTTCATTATGTAAAGAGAAATTTTCTTGTCTTTTCAAATCTATTTATTTTTTTGATCTTTTTAGACAAAAATGGTCGGACATAGAAACCAAAGCTGATCACAAAACAAAAGCAAATTCATTGGTGGATCAATTAAAATCACATTGGATATTTCTATTAATGATTCTCATTGGAATCATTGCGTTCTTAATCTTGGTTTTATTTATTTATCGAAATTGTTTAACTCGTTCAAAGAAAATTCTTGGCATTTTTACATTAAAGACAAAACATACAAACGAATTTATTGAAGAAAAACAGAAGATTTTAGAAGAACCAATTGATGATCGAAAAATTTCATTTAATGAAATTCAATTGGGCGATTTGATCAAAGAAGGAAGATTTGCTATGGTTTATCGAGGTTTTTATCAACAAACACCAATTGCAATTAAAATTTTATCTGATTCATCAATCAACAATGAAGGGAAAAAATTATTTTTAAATGAAAAACAAATTTATTCGTTACCTTTTATGAATCATCAAAATCTTCTCAAGTAAATCTTTCTTTTCTTTATTCTTTTGAAAAAATCGTTTTTTCTCTCATATAGATATTACGGTTATTCAATGGATATGAATAAATATTATCTATTAATCGAATTGAGTTTCAATGGATCATTACGTGATGTTCTTCGTTCACGTATGTTAAATGATGAAAATGAATTGATATTTTTATGTAAAGAAATCTCAAATGGTCTTGCATATCTTCATCATGATTTTCCTTCCATAAAAGCCTCCCATCCACCCATTGCACATCGAGATTTAAAATCCGACAATATTCTTTATGTAAACAATGAAAGAGTTGTTCTTTGTGACTTTGCTATGTCACTTAAACTTGATCAAAATCAAAATTATCCCAATGAACAACAACAAATTGGAACACCACGTTACATGTCACCTGAATTATTATCAGGAATTATTGGTTATGAAACAAGTGCACTACTCAAATGTGATGTTTACGCACTGGGAATTATCTTTTGGGAGATTTTATCAAGATTTCAAGGTTTTTATCGAAGTTTTTCCTTCCAAAAAAAAGTTTTCTTGTGTTTTTTTAGATCAAACTGTTACCGAATATGAATTACCATTTGAAAGTCAATTACGTCAACGTGGTTTCAGTTTAAATCCATCAATCAATGAAATGTTTCAAATCATCAGTTTAGAACAACCGAATAATCGTCCATTAACAAAGAAATTTTGGAAAGAAAATTCCAAACTCAATAAAATTTGTTCAACAATGGAAGAATGTTGGGATCAATATCCAGAAGGACGTATTAGTGCAGCGTTAGTTGCATCAAGAATGCAACAATTTATTTAAAAAAAAGAAATATTTCTCATTTTATTTTAATTCTCATTTCTTCTTTTTTTCTGTTGTTCGATATACATCTTTTCTTTTTCTTCTTTTTCTTCTTTGTATTTGTAACAATGTTCGTCAAATAATTGTTTCATTTGCTTTTTTCGTTTTCTTTTTCAGATAACTTTCGTTGTTTTTTCATCAAAGACATACAAATGCCAGTTCAAACAAGTGAATCCGTTCAATCGAAAACTCAAGAAGAACAAAATGTTCAAGTCAAAGATGTCAAAGATGGTAAAAGACCGTTAGAAAAAAAGAAGAATTTCTTTGAATAAATTTCGTGTTTGTCTTTTAGATTCTGATGATTCGTCATCTGAAGAATCAGGAAATGAAGGTGAAAAAGATTCGGAAGAAGTGAAACAATCTCACCCATTAGCAGCAGCAGCTGGTATTGAGGAAGAATTACAATCAAAACAAAAACAAACTCGTTCAGAAAAGAAAGCACGAAAAGCAATGGCGAAACTTGGTTTACGTCCAATTCAAGGAATTCTTCGTGTCACAATTAGAAAATCGAAAAATATTTTATTTGTCATACAAAAACCAGATGTTTACAAGAGTCCAGCATCTGATACTTACATCGTTTTTGGTGAAGCTAAAATTGAAGATCTTTCTCAACGAGCTCAAATTGCTGCTGCCAATCAATTTAAAAATCTTGGACAAAACGCCGCAGTAAATAACACAACTGATCAAACATCACAATCGAATGAAAAAGGCTCAAGTGATAAAAATGCTAATCAATCCAGTGCAAAAGCAGAAACGATTCAGGAAGAATCTGATGAAGATGAACAAGTGGATTCACAAGGTATTGAAGAAAATGATATTCAACTAGTTATGTCACAATCCAAAGCCTCAAGATCAAAAGCTATTAAAGCTTTAAGAAAATGCAACAATGATATTGTCAATGCCATTATGGTAAAAAACAAAACCATCTCCTTTCATAGACAAATTTATTTGATCTTCTTTTTTTTCTCTTTAGGAATTGGCTGAATAATGAGCATTTCATTGTGATTTTCTTCCATTTATTCAATAATCAAAAAAGAAGAACTTTTCACTTGTCACTTTCAGTATTTCTTTTCTTTGTTGTCAATAACATCGACGTTTTTTCATAAGAAAATAAAATTCTTTCATCAGTGACATAAAAATCCGACTCTATCATCGATCATAGTACATGAAATGGCGACCCAACCGTTGCAGTCAGGCTCAATATTCACAAAATAAATGACGACAATACAAATTAAGAAGTGTTTAGTTATTTGGATGACTGAACGCTGAAGTAGTGTGAAGATTAATTAAGTGTTTGGAGTTGAGATCTGCTGAATTTCATTTTCTTGATTTTCATCAGATAATTTTCGTTTCAGGGATTGTTCGTTTGATTCATTCATTCATCATAGTAGTGGACATGTTCAAACCATTGTTTGAATCCATGCAGTTAAATAGATTTGTTGAATCAGCAGAGAAATGAACGATGTTTGTGACGAATTCAAATTCAGTATTGGGCAATGTCAGTTTATAGAATGAAGCTAGATCATAAAAAGAAAAGGAAAATGAGAAAGAGAAAGATTGTAACTTACCGAGAGCCAAGGCATCAGAACGATTGAATTGACCATCAGCAATATCTGGAATTGGTAATTTATCGTCTTTATACTCAGGTCGAATAATCGGCACAGAAAGGGCTGGTTCCGTGGTATTCCGGAGATTTCATGGAAGCAGTATTCCCGATGAGCGGATCCGGTGACCGAATTTATCTGGATTGGGCGGGAACCAATAGGAACATGTCAAACCCAGGGCGATGGTTCCTGAAGCAGGATTCCATGAATTTTCGACAAAATCCCTGAGGAAACTCGCCATTTCTGAGCGGAAAATGCCAGGAATCCGATGGAGAAAAGCGGTAACCATTTCCGGCTACTGGTTTTGACATGTTTCTGTCGGTTCCGATCGAAACCCGATAAGTCCGGTCACCGGATCCGCTCATCGGGAATACCATGGAGCCGCCCGTTTCCGTGCCGGATTGTTCGACCTGGGATAGAACATAGCTAATAAGATCGCTCATAAAATTTGCAACAACCGACGGGATTTTTCTAGTCGAATCCAGTCAGATCCGATCGGATCCAGCATCGGATTTATTGACCTGGGATGTTCACGTGGAATCATTTCGATAATTGTACGTGCAATTGTACACGATGCAGCCTTCATTGACATATTGTAACATTTGATGATCTTGTTGATGGACTCTTTCGTTTTACTTAATTCACTGAAGATGTTATTGCGTTCTTTCAACGTTTCAATCATATCGTTATTTTTTCCATCGAGTTTTGAACGCCATTCATTTATTTTCGAAGTTGAAGCCGAGCAAATGTCGAATACCTGATTCTCCAGTTGATCAAGAAAAGCGACTATATCGGGTGATGATCCCAGGTCGATCATTCCGGCGCAGTTTTTGCCGATTCCAGCAGGTTCCTTGCCGCCGGATTTCTCCGGCAAGGAAATGGTCGGAAAATGAACCTAACCGACCAGAACAGATCCTGCCATAATAACCTGGGATGATGATGGATTTGAAGAAATAAAATTTTGAATGGGTTTTCAAAAACCTCCGTATTGCTGCATTCTTTTGATGAGGTTAAATGAGAATGACCAGTGATGGTAATTTCCTTTGTTCGTGATGACCATCGGATAACCAGCTTTACAACGAATGGAGAGATGTCACTTGTGCATGCCACAAAATCTTATCATCTTGTTAACTCTTTGAGGATCGATTTTTTATCGGTGTGAAACTATAAGCACGAGAAATAGAAAACAACTATTGGCCTTAAAACACCATTACCGAGCCACGAAATTAGAATATGGTTTCTTAGCGACGACATTAATCGTCCCAGAGAGAAAACCTATGTAAACGTCTTAGTTTCACATCTGACAAATCAATTCCACATTTCAACAAGCGAATATATTTTTCATCCATTCGTAGACAACTATATTTACTCATTCGAACCAATATTCAACTGTCGCTACAGAGTCAATAGAACAAAACAACAAAATATTTAAATACTTTTCAAAAACAAATTCCGATCATAAAAAGAGTTCATTCAACTCCCAAAGTCCATCCGTACACAATAGTAATAATTTTCATCATCAGCAAACGACTACCAAAACTCTAACTGTATGTTTTGCTACTACACAAACGCACCCACAGAATACGTAGCGAATTCTCACAGAAACTACTCCCACAATTCACACCAAGCAAGAAACTAACACGACATGAGATTGCAATCAATTTTCACACAGAGCTGATCGACTCAATCAAACAATATCATACTATAATCTCGACCGCAAGTCTAAAAGGAATTGATTGCGAATGTTTATTTATTTTCTGAATGCAGCAATTTGCAACCCACTCATTTGTTATATTAGTTAGTTCAAGATAAGTTAACATACTTGAACTATATGATTTCATTGGCGAAGTCTCTCTGTTTCGATACTAAACGAGTGAGCCGCAGAAGATCTCCCTCTGAAAACAAGCCTAAACTAGCATCGTCCACAACGGTGCTTAAATTTGTCAATGATATGCATTTGTCTGTAAAAGGAAAAGGAAGAATATGTGCTTATTGTAGTACAAAGGAAACTAATTTTCGATCTAGCATCAAATGCTTTATTTGCAAATCGTAACTCATTTTGTTTAAGAGATGGAAAAACTGTTTTTTTTTGACTATCACAATATTTTCAAGTAGCCATTTTGAATTAAAATAAAATCAATAGATCAAGCATGTTGTTTTTATTTGAAAAATAAATCATCAATAGATATCCTACGAAGCATGGTGTTTTATTTGCTTGAAACAAAATAAAAATAAAACAACAAAAATCCTCTTTGCAACGGAGTGAACAAAACAAGGAAAAAACAGCATCAGCCAAAAAAAAAGAAACTGAAATTTACTTGATTTTTTCCAACTGCGGTTCTATTCCGAAGCGAGAAAGTTCATCGAGTATGTTTGATACTGATATTTGAGAATAATCAAATTCGACATGGATATTTTTCGTGTTGAGCCCAGGTCGAACAATCCCATACTCGGATCCCATCGGATCCAATACAGAATTTTATCAGATCCTACAGGAATTCGACGGATCCAATGAAATCCTGGTGACGGGATCGCATTGGATTCCGACGGTCTCAGATCCGATCAAATCTCGTTGGATCCGAAACATGGATTTCCTAAGAGTCATCATAGAACATAGCTAGAAAGATCGCTCATAAAATTTGCAACAACCGACGGAATTTTTCTAGTCGGATTCCAATGCAATTCCGTTTCCAGGAATCCGATCGGATTTTGTCGGATCCAGTATCGGATTTGTTCACCTGGGTTGTGCATGTTCACGTGCAGTCATTTCTATAATTGTTCGTGCAATATCGTACATGATGCAGTTTTCATGGACATATTGTATCATTTTATGATTTTACTTGTTGACTCTTTCGTTGTATTTAATTGATCACCAATATCAATACGTTCTTTGAGCGTTTTGATTAGATCGTCGTTTTTTCATCGATTTTTGAACCCAAAGACGAACAAATATCGAATACTTGATTTTCTAATCGTTCTAGGATATTTAATGTATCAGTTGGTGATGGCGATGGATTCGAAACGATAAAATCTCGGATTGATTTTCGAAAATCAGCATAGTTTTGCATTTCCTTCTTTATTTAGATATAAAATGAAAATAACAAAGAATTGTAATTCTTGGATTTGTACGTTCTTTCATTTGTTCATGATGGACATCGAATGACCAGCGTTGCACAGAACAGAAAGATGTCACTGTGGATGAGTGACTACGAATGGGCAGCTCACATATGTACTACATAATAGTAGGCGATCATTTCTCAAATTGTTCGAGTCAATCGATCGAAACTTTTAACCAAGTCAAGATACAGTTATCTCAGTGGTTAATTTTAACAATGAAATCGAGAAAATGATGAGGATATTGACTAGATCTCATAAAAATTCCACTACTGCTCGCATGAAAGAGAAATATATACTTTATCATTCTTTTCCTGCCATCTTTATCGTACTTTATTGCTATTAACTGTTGATGAAGATTGAATAAAGTATTCGGCTACAGAGGCTGATTGGTGTTATTTGTATCTTTCGCTTCCAAAATTCGCACAATCAGACTTTACAACAAGAGTTCCAGTCTCGATCGATTATTTCAGTTGAATGAAAATGTTTTCTCCAACATAAGATATTCTTTCACGATTGAAATCTATTTGTATATAACTTGACGAAGATTTTTATCCATTGGTTCCATTATAATATTAAAACCGTTGAATTCATTCGATCTCGTTGATGATGTAAATACATTTCACTCTAGTCTAGTATTGCTGACAGGGGTCATTTCTAATCTCAATGATGGTGAGTATAAAAATCCAATGGAACTTTTAATATCCTCGGACTTCATCAAAGATATGATGTGAGAAAGTCTGTGTGATTTTGAATGTGAGTGACCGTATCATTTATTTGCGACATTACTTGAAGAATTCAATGATGGCAAACGTGAACGGAAGTTGCGAAACCGGAGGATCAGTACTTTTCACATTAGATGAATGATTTTCACATGCATTAAGAGATATTATCGTAAATCTTTTTTTTGTGAACATATCCATGAACTTATAAACTGCTAAAAGGTTTGTAGTGCAAAAGTGAAAGTTAAAAAGTTCTTCTTTTTATTCGAAATTAAAATCTAACATAGATTACCAACGAACAAAACAAACTCAATCGAATATCAGACCAAAAAGAGAACAGAAATATTTTCTAAACAAGAAATCACACTGGATTCAGCTTTTGTCTTTGGAAAAAATAAACTAATTATTAGTTGAATTGACTTGTCGATCATTTTCGATTTGTAAAACCTTTTTCGTTAAACTTGTCAAACAATCTGTATTTGAATTGGTAAAATTTTGAAAATTTCTTTTCAACGAACAAGTTGATGATTGACCAAAGAGCAGACTTGTCTCTTTGTGTTCATTATTGCATTGATTTTCATTTCTCTGATTGAGATTATCTTGAACAGTGGAAATCGTTGTCAAAAATTTTCCATCTTCAGTTCTCGTCGTTGTTGTTTTCACTCGATTGTGAACTCCAGCTTGAATTGATGAAGATAAAATATTTGCTGAAGAATTCGGATAAAATTGTCTCGACGAATCATTTGGATTTTGTTGATGAACAGAGTTAGATGAATTTGATTTGATGAAATTCGATGAATATTTCACAAAAAGATTTTCTCCAACATTAATCGAAATCTTTTCGTTTTGATTTTCATTCACTTTGATTTTCACTGGAAGATCGATGAGATGTTTTTTTGCAAAAAACTCGTCAAAGTTGCCAATTTTGATGAAGATTTCTTCATAAAAACTGTGAATATCTCCAATGAATTTATCGTCAAATAAATGAATTGTTCCCGCTGGTTTCGATGGAGTTAAACAAAGTTGATTTGGATTTCTTTCATTGATAATTTCATTGGAATGAATTGTTTTAATAAAGACACTTCGAATCGTTTTTAAATTCGAATTTGGAATTGATTTATACGCTTGAAGAAGCGAAATCCATGTGAAATTGAAATTTTCTCGTTGAGCAATGAAATAAATTGTTGATAATAAGATTTGATCTAAATCTCTTTGACAAAATAACTTTTTTGTATAATTTTCAAATAAAAATAAATAAAAATTCCAAATAGTTTTTTTAATTTCATTAGAATTTCTTCCAAATAATCTTGAACATAATAAATCTAATCGAGTAAAAACTAATTGATAATATTTTCGATAAAACATTGTGTATGGAGATTCTTTGATGAGATTTTCTCTTAAAGGATCTGATTGTGTTCGAATAATTGGTGTTGAATCAAATAATTTTCTTTTGACTTGATTTGAAGATGATGGAGAATGAAGAAAAAGATTTGTTAAATTTGTTGGTGTGATTAAAGAAGATTTGTGTTGAATTTGTTGAATTTGTTCATAAGTTAAAATTCCTTTCGATTGAATTTCATTCCACAAATGAGATTTTTCTTCAAAAGCCAATGAAGACAAAATCATTTCTTCAATTGATGACAAATATTTAATGAAGAATCGACATTTCGAGATTTCTTTATTTGTTTTCAAATAAATTTGAATCATTTTGAGAAACGAATATCCTTGTAATGAATATAAATGACAAATCCATTGAAAATCATGATAATGATCACCATGAGCATAGAAATTCAATAATAAACATAAACCAAGAAGAGATTTGAGAAATTCATTGTTGAAAATTAATTTTCTAAAAGAAAAACTTTTCTTCGAGAAGAGAAAAGAAGAGAAACTCACTGAAATGATTGTTGAATTTGTTGATTTGTCATTTGATTCGATTCTAAACGTGATTTTTCAATAATTAAAATATTTTCCAATGCAGAATAAAATAATTTCAATGAAAAATCAAAATGTTTTTCACACGAATTTCTTTCATTGGAAGAAATGAAATGATTTTCTTGATAATTTTCTAAAAATAATCTTTTCCATTCGGAAATTCGTTCAATTAAATCGTCTAAACAGAAGAAATCGATGTTTTCTATGCGAAGAGAAGAGAAAAGATCTTCTTACCTAAGAAACGTTGTTGACCAATGAGAATGAGAAGATTTTTCGAAGGTTTTGTCGTTTGATTTTTGGAAATTTGAAATAAAATGTCGATTAATTGATTTGCTTGAGAAATTGGAGTTAAATTTTGTTGTTTTTCATTGGAATTGAAAGAAAGAAAATGTTGATTTGCAGTTAAAGGTGTTTTATTGAGATGAGTCTTCGAATTTCGATTTTCATTTAAAGAATTGAGAAAATCCGAAAAGAAATTTTGATTTTCTAAGAAAATTCTTTCATCGATAATACAATTTGTTAAAATAATTTCATCGTATTTTTTTGTGATGAAATTTCTCATTTCGAACAAATTCAAATTTTTCATTTCAATCAAATCTTTTTCCAAATGTTCAAAATAAATTGTTTCAATGATTTCAAATGAACACGAATATTTTTCCGAGAAGATTTCGATTAAACTTTCTTTTTCACGAAGATTTTCCTTGAAGAAGAAATTCAATTGAAATTTCTTCATTATTTGATAAATAAATTCAAATGAAGCCAAAAGTAAATGAAACGAATTCATTAAATTATTAAATGTCGACGGATAAATCGTTTTCGATAAAGAATAAATTGTCCAAATTATCGAATAAAAATCGTTCAACGAATATTTTTCGTCTTTTTGTAATTTTAAATTTTTCTTCTTTTCATTTTTACAATTGAATTTCTCCAGATTTCCATGAAAAATTGAAAAAAAGATTTGTAAATATTTTTCAAAAATTATTGAAGAAATTTCAAATGATTTTTCAATTTGATTAATTTCTTTTCGAAGATTTTCAGGAAGATTTCTCATATTTTCCCATTGATGTAATTTCGAAAAAAACTTTAAAATTGACAAATTATTTGCACTTTTTAATAATCGTGTTAACGAGATCGGATTATTTTGATTTTTCAATAAAAATTTATTTTCTCGACATGAAATATATAATGAAATCGATAACCAATGAATTTCATCACCTTCTAACACATAATGTTTTAATACTTCAACATAATTTTTCATTGCTTCTTCTTTTGTTTCATTATCCATATTTAAATCATAACATAACTCATTATATCGATCCAACACTTCGTTTCTAAAAAACAAAACAAACAATTCATTCGACTTTTACTAAACTTTTCTTACTTTACGGAAATTGACGAACACATTCACCAGTTTTCAATTACAAATATCAATTCGATAAGAAATCTAAAACAACAATTCTATTTCAGTTCATTTTAAGGTCAAAGAAAAACAAAGAAACAAAACAACATATTCAACCAATAAACTTCATTATTCTTCTTTTCCCTTTCCGTGTCATATTTTACATTAACACCCACTGTGACTCGAACAGAGAGAGAGAGACAAGGAAGGAAAAGATTAACACATTCGTTTTCAATTAAAATGTCTTTCTGTTGAATTCACACTTCAATAAATCAGATATGAATGAATGAAATGTCATCGAGAGTTATCTATTGGATATGCTCAGAACAAAAAAATCAACTAGCGACATCATTTTCTTTTCCAAATGAAATCTTTTTTGGTGAAACAAGATTTGAATAACTCGAGATGATTTCATAACACATTTAGAGACGACAAAGAACAGTTGTCTGTTCTTTTTTTGTCATTTCTCATCAAGATCGGAATTGAGATAAAAAGCATTTTCAGTTGATTTAAATCTTTTCCATGTGATGATTAGTTATAATGAAAGAGACAAGTGTTTGTATTGAAGAAGTTTTGACATATGTGATTGGAATCATAAATATTCATTGTCGAGAAAAGATGTGAAGTCTCATCTATATCACTTGACATTTGTGTAAAAAAATAAGCAAAACATTTGGTCAGATATAAAATAATGTTAACCATCTGTTCTTCAATAGAATCAGTTAGAAATGACATTTACAATAAACAGAGAACTTTTCTTTTTAATTATACAGTTAATCTTTGTCGAAGAGAATTGAAATGATTTAATAAATGAATGTTATTGAAATGAAAAAGAAGAAAAAGAAGAAGCGAATAAAATCAGTTAAGAATACAAAGAAGAAGAAGAAGAATGTATTTAATTTAACGTTTATTCGTTGTAACAATTAAACCATTCGTTAAAAGATGATGATCTGATGGAATTTCTTTGACAAGAATTGAATTTGAATTTGTATGAAGATCATTTTGTGAATTGTTTTGTATTTGATTTAATTTGAAAGAATTTTCTTTTTTCAATTCATCCCATTTTCCAATATCATGAAATCGATCACCGATACGATTATAATATGATGTTAATGAATCATATGTACTTTCACGATCTTTTTTCAAACACAAAAAACACATATCATTACAACGAGATAAAAATAATAAATATGTTAAGGAGGATAAAGAAGAATTTGACCAGGCAAATAATAATAAATACCTTTAAAAGAAACAGAAAATATTGAAAAGAGATTTGAATTTGAATGAAAAAAAGAAAAGTTTTACCTTAAAAGTTGTTTATTAAGTTTAAATTTAATATCAAATAAAGTTGAAATAAATAATGGAAACCAAAAAATAATAAAAAGAATAATTAATAAAATATTTAATTTAATTCTTTGTTCAATTTGTTGCATAAGAATATCTTTGGAAGCAATTCTTTCTCCATGACATTGACCAAGAATTGCTAAAGATAATAATGGTTGATTATGACGTCGTTTTAATGAAACTTCATTTAACATTTTATGAATATATCTTAATGTTATTATTAAACTAAATATAATGATTATAATCCACATTAATGTTAAAACATAACCACGAATATCTCGAATTAAAAAATTACAAGATTTTTTTTCATTTATAAAATAAGATTTCGCTTCACTTCCGATCATTGTGATTCCTAAATGAAGAATAATTGACGAAAACCAAATAATAAGAATTCCAAAAGAAAGACAACCACATGATATTGTCGATGAATTCGTTTGTTTTAATTGATATTCATAATGATTATGTGTTGTTGAGATATCTTGATGAATTAAATCTTCAAATCGATAAGCTTCACTTGCGACCATTGCAGCAATATTTAATAATTGAGCTGTAACACATGTTACTTGAATATTTGCTAAATAATCACATCGAATTTGATAATTTAAATAACTTAATCGATATGGAAAACATAAAATTGATAAAACTAAACAAATTAAACAATGATGAAAAAGAAAACATGATGATTTCATTCGATAAATTGCAATTAACATTAAATAAATCATAATAAAAATATTAACAATTATTCCAACAATTGTTATTCCATATAAAATTGTTAATTCGATTGATGAAACATTTTCATTGAGGAAACTTTGATTGGAATTGAATGACATGTTTTTCAAATGAAATATCTAAAATATAAATCAATATGAGAAAGAAAGAATATGAGAAAAGAGTTCTTTTCTCGACGAATTGTGAAGAGTACTTCTTGTTTAGAACATCGTCTCCAATATATCTTTATATCAATGATGAAAGAAGAAGAAAAAAAGTCTTCCAGACGGATCAAGACACATTCAGTTCTATCGAATAGAAAAGAGAAAAATATATATCTAAGGAAATCATCAAGCCAGTCTTTTTTTTTCTTCTCTATTCTTGGATTTGTCTCTATCGATGTCAATGGACTCATAGTAGACGATGGAAAAAAAAGAAGAAACTAATCTTAGTTCTTTCCTTTTCCTCGTTTTTTCTTCTTCTTCTTTCCTTGTCTTTATCGAATTCTTTCGACACTAATGGAGCTATCGACAAAGATTTCTTATCAAACAAAATAAGAAAAGACAACATCGACTAACTAAGAAGAGAAAAAGAAAAGCAGAACATAGGTCTTCATGACTTTTTATTTCTCTCTGATTTGATTAACTTATTGACAAATAAAATTTCTTTCTCAATGATCAAAATAGATCAATTCTCATCACATTGAACTTCATATTTTGTTATGACAACCATTTGTATCTTTCTTTCACAAGAAACTTTTTCATTAAATCTATTAACATTCTCAAACAATTGATCAAGGTCGATTGATTAAAGAACATATCAAGGGTCACAGATGTTTAAGTATTCGTTTCTCTTTTGTTATTTATAAAAATAAAAGAAACAATTCTTTCTCTTTCTTTCTTTTTCCGGAAGAAATTCAAAAGTGTAAAATTGAATTCGAGTTTGTCGTTGAAGTGATAAAAATCATTGATTGTATAAGAAAGAATCTTTGATATGAATGATGATGTAAAATGAGTTTTCAATTGATTAATTTTGATGAAAGAAAAAAGACGATTCAATTATGAATTGATAATTCGATGAAAAATTGAAAAAAAAGTATATATTTAATAAGCAAAAGAAAATGAATGAAGAAAAACAAATGTTCATTCATTTGATCAAATAAAAGACGAAGAAGAAGAAGAAGACAAAAGGGAAAAGAAAACGAAGATTCGCTTTGATTTACTTTGAGATGAAGTTAAAATGTGAATTGTTAATCTAACTGAAATTTATTTTCGATTGAAGCAATGTTTTATAAAGTAGTTAAACACACGTTGAATGACAAAAACAAATGAAGTAGAAGAAGAAAAAAGAAAAAAAGAAGAAGAAGAAGAAGAAGAAGAAGATTAAATGTTAAATTCTAATTTTGTTGTTGTTGGTAAAAATGAAATAAATTTACGAAGCATAAACAGTTTTTTGTATATGTGTTGCTTTTTCTTCGTTTTGTTCATTTAAAAGACGTGTAACAACACTAACTCCAACACCCCATGAATCATGTGTAGGTAAAACGAGATCATAAGGTAATTTTTCTTTTCCATGACCACGTGCGTGAATTTTTAAATATTTTCCTGATGATAATTTTAAACCTGATGGAAGTGAATAAGTTATTTCAGGAGAATTATCCACTTTTCTCAAAAGACGCCATCCAGTTAAATCAATATCTTTATTTTTTGATGTATTCGCCAATTGAATATATTTGCCATCAGGTGAACATTCATCAATATTAATTGGTCCTTGAAAAGAAAACAAAGATCGAAAATGAATTTGTTGGAAACGAGAAGAAAAACAAGAAGCAAACCTTTAGCAGATCTTTGAAAAGTTGTTTTCGCTTGCATTTCAGTTTGATTAATAATTTTTTCATTAGTAACTGTTTTAGTGATTTGTGTTGGTGGTGGTGATGGATGACGAATAGGTGGTGGTGGTGGTGGTTGATGTTGTTGAATATGAGATGATGATTGAGAAATATGTGTTGTGGTTTTAATTGTATGTTTACTTTCACGAATTCTTCCTTCTTCTGATTCAAGTAAACGACGATATGTATTGATTTCAAATTCTAATGAAGATTTATTTGAAACAATTTCATCATATGAAGCCATTAATTCATTTAAATGAGAACGAAGTTCTAAGATTTCTCGTTCACGTGCATCAATAACATCTCCATTTTCTACAAAACAATATCAAGAAAAAGAGGAATGGAAAAAGAAAACAACACGAAAGAAATTACCTCGTTTAAGTGATTCTAATTTCGATTCTAATTCGGACATTTTTTGTAAATAATTATTATAATCTTGTTGTAAATCGAACATTTCTTTTTTCGTTTCATTTATATTAATTCGAAGTTGATTGGAATTTTCTTGATTAACCAATTGATTATTTTGTTGTTGTTTTTGTTTTTGTGCTTGTTGAACGATTTCATCTGTTTTAATTCGATAATATTCTTCTAATTCACTTCGTTGTGAACGTGAAAGATTTTCAAAATCATTTCGAATTTCTCGTATTGCTCTTTGTAATTCATTTTTATAAAATGTTGTTGGATCAATACCAATGTTTGGTGAAGATAAATTTCTTAATTCATTCATTTCTTGTTCATGAATAGCTGAAAGAAAAGGAATTTGTTCTTCAAGTGTTTGTTTTTCATTTTCAATTTTAATTCGTGCCATTGTTTCTTGATCTAATTCAATTAAAAGACGAGAAATTTCTTCATATAAATGTTTCATTTCATTTCGATATTTTTCAATGTCACTCATTGAATCACCCATTAAACGTTGAAGATGTTCTAATTCTCGTTGATTTTCTTCTAAGGTCGATTGAAGTGAATTGATTTTCGATTTATCTTGATTTGTCCATTGATTAATATCATCAGCTAATTTTTTATAATAAAGTAAATCAAATTCAGCTCGTTTAGCACGAATTTCTCCTTTTGCTTTATCAACTGTCGCTAAATCGATCGTTTTTCTTAAATCATTTAATTGTGGTTCATATTGAGATTTAAAACGATCAGAATCTAAACCCCATTTGGATCTTAATTGATCTAATGTATTTTGTAATTGTTTATTTGTTTGTTCTAAATATTTCACTCGATCGAGATAAGATGAAAATCGATCATTTAATTGAATTAATTCTTCTTTTTCATGATCACGTTGTTGACGCATCAATGCTAAAGCTTCACCTTTACCTCCACCACCAATATCTGACACTTGACGAATTCCATGTTCAACTGTACGACGTATTGTTCGACTTGTCATTGATTCTTCTTCTTATAAGAATTTAATAAAAGATCTTTCTTCTAAAATAAAGATGAGAAGACAAAAACTTTCATGAGAAATCAACGTGTTGAATGTTCGATTGTCCTTTTCTATATCTTTACTAAGTTATTCTTCACCCTCGATAATAAAACAGAGAGAGAGAGAGAAAGGGACACAGAGAAGGAGAGAAAAATGTCTACTAGGTAAATAAACGATAGACATCGAGTAAAAAGAAAAGAAAGAGAACGACCGATGAGAAACAATCTGTGGCTTTTTTTTTCTCTTCTCTTCTTCGAATGTAAATGTTAGCAACCATCTTTGTCGTTCTTTTTTCTCTCGTTGAATATTTCTTTGTGGTTGAAACAACATCAGTTGTTTTACCCTTTTCTTCCCTTTCTCTCTGCGTGTTTTATACATATATTTTTAAACAACCAATCAGATTTCATCAGATACATATTCGAACTATCTACACACTTATTTATGAGATCGGATCGAAAAAGACGAAAAAAACAAAAGAATTTCTTGAAAAATAAAAAACAAAATTTGACATGAAGGACTCAATTGAAGGATAAATGAAATCTGTTTATGAGAAAAAAGCATATGTAAATGTCGGTTGATGTTGTTCGACAATTTATTCAGGTGAATTTATGAATGTTAATCTTAATAAATCTCATATGAAATTTTACTTTCTGAATAAAAAGAAAAGATCATGATGAAATTCGCTTACTTTTCGTTGAACTGAATAAAGATTTAACTTGTTCTCTTTTTCCAATTGATCAATGGATGTTACTTAACTATGTTGTTTCTCTCTCTCTCTTTCTCTTATTCTCTCTCTGTGTGTTATTCATTGCCTATTATTTGCACATAGTGAATGTGCCCTATTGATTTGCCCTCGCCCTCTTCGTTTATTATTCATATACTTCGATTTCATCAGAGAAATTTTAGATGAAAAAAAGAAAAAAAAAAGAAAATGAAATTCTCTAAACTAATTTCTAATTAAATTAAATTATATCATCAGTCTAGACAAATCATGTCATAATTCTTAACTGATAATCAAATAAACTAAAATAAAGGTTTTATTTAAAGAAATCATAGAAATTTCCTTTCTTTAAACAAAAGATAAATTTCTTCGAAGAAAACTTCTCAATAAACAATAATATTATTTTATCTGTTAATCATTATTTATTCTTTTACTCTCAATGTTATATAAATAATCAGATCAAATTACTTTATTTATCTTTTTCTCGTGTCAGTCGTTACAATTAACTCAACAACGAACAAAGATTTGTTTCAGTACAAAAAGAGGCAATTCTTTCTAATTAAAGATAAGATAAGAAACGACTTTTGTGTTAATTAGTCAATTGAAGAAAAACATTGATGAAGAAATCATTCATTTTGTGGTTAAGAAAGAAGAAAATATTTGCGGGTTTTGAAAGAAAACATATTTTTACTTACCCTTTTGACAAATGAAATGAAAACTGATTTGTTTTTTCTTCTGATAAACTTGTTCGATAAACAAATTTTTTGCGACAGAAAATTTGTTTTTGAAAAAAAAATAAATTCAATGAAAAACAATTTCTTTGCTTTCAATTGACGAAATAAATGAAGGAAAAGAGAAATAAAGTGACATCTATGATAAGTAACAAAGTGCATTAGAGGATTGGAGAAAGTTAGAATAGAAAAATGTCGTTTACGGAAAATGAAAATCTTTTGTTTTTCCCCAAAGTTCAATGTGTTCAAATCGAAGTCGTGAATTTTTTCGTCGATTATCTCAAAGTATTCCTTGTTTTATTGCTTGGAGTTTATTAATTGTTTTATCAACAATTTATTTTTTATTTCTTTCTCCATGGTTAACTATTCATTTATGGAAATATTTAACAATTTTACAAGGAGTTTTTCTCTTTTTTGTTATTGAAAACTTTTTCTTAGCAACATTTACTGATCCAGGAAGATATAGTCGAGCACCACCCGATGAAAATGACGATTCAGAAACAACTTTTCATAAAACAGGTTCGTCATTTTCTTTGGCTTTCTTTTCAAATATTTTTCTTTTTAGTTGAAATTCACGGAACACAATGTCGAATGAAATGGTGTCAAACATGTGGATTTTATCGACCACCAAGATGTTCTCATTGTTCAGTGTGTGACTTTTGTATTGATGTAAGTTCAAACATTTGTTTTTTCTTTTCGATAAGAAAGAACTGACTTTGTTCTTTTAAAGACATTTGATCATCATTGTCCTTGGTTGAATAATTGTGTTGGTGAGTTTCATGATGATCAATTGGAATTCAATTTGAACATTTCGATGTTTTCTAGGTCGTCGAAATTATCGATATTTTATAAGTTTTCTATTGAGTGTATTGATTCACATGTTAGTTGTGTTATCATTGTCAGTTTATTATTTATATAAAAATCATGAAAATCTTTCGGATGTTTCGTCAATAATCTCAATAATCTTAATCGTATTTATCGTTGTACTTATAATTCCAATTGGTGGTTTAACAACATTTCATTTAATGTTAATTTGTCGAGGAAGAACAACAAATGAACAAGTAACAGGAAAATTTAAATCAAATATCAATCCAGTTGAGTTCTTTCTTTCTTTTTCTTTTCTTTTTCGAATTGTTTTCATTGAACTTTTAGTTTGATTATGGATGTTTATTTAATTGCTCAAGAATATTTTCATCTTCAAATCCACCAAAGTCAGAAATCAAATCAAAATGATCGAAATTCCATTTTCTCTTTTAGATTATTGACAAAGAAAAAGAAATCGAAAACATCGTATCAAATTGAAGTCAGTGACAAGAAATCGAAAAGTAAAAATGGAACAAATAAAGTAAAAGAATTCGTCGTTTTCAATAACTTTTTCAAATAACAATTCTTTTTTTAGACAAAACATTATACAATGACATCGGTATAACATTTCACAAACAAATATTTATCATTTAATGATAAAAATTAGGAGAATTTATTTTTGAACGAAAAGAAATTCAAACATTTCCATTTTATTCAATCTCAAATTAACAAAGCAATCAATTCAACATCAAAAAAACAACTTTTTCCTCTCAAATTTCTTTTTTTTTATAAAAAAATATAAAACTGTCAAATAAAAAGAAGTCTCTCTCTCTCTCACGATATTTCACAGAAATTCTGTAGATTTAATTTGTTCGATTTGAATTCCTGAAATGAAACTCAATTGAAAGCAAAATCCAAATGTGTTTGTATGAGAGAAGAAAAAGTGAATGAACACATATTTGAAATGTCTGAAATAGATCTAAGAGTTGCTTTTATTTTCAAATCGATTTTTTATGAACAAGATCAAACAGAAGATAAAAGTTCGTCAAATAATCAATCAATGATCGTTCCAATTATTTCTTTCGTATTCGATTATCAATAAGAATGTGAAATAATATAAGAAATAAAAAAAGTTCATATTTACAACAAAAGAACGAATTCCAATAAGTACATTTGAACTCAAAGATTTCACCATTGAAATTCATATTACTTCATAATTATTGTTCAATTAATTTTCTCAATTTCTTATTTATCAAAAATATTCCTTTTTATAATAATAAAATAGACGAACAGTGAACACTGTGTGACAAAATATAAGACAATGATTTTTGAAATTGTATTCCATGAAGTTCCAATTAATATAAACGGGGAAAAATGTCATTTCTGAGTAAAATTTGTCAAAGAAAAGTCTTTAAAATCGATGTAAACATCTGATGATCAATTCTAATAAGCAGAAAAGATATTGATTCATTTTGCATTTCAATAGATAAAATAATCATTTCACTAAAATTAGAATCGAACTTTATTTTATTTTCTTGACAATGAAGATCAACTAATAAATACAAATGAATTCTCAAATAAATTCAAAGTTTCATTTGAATAATGAAAATTCGATAATAAGATTTTATTTCTTTATTTTTGCAAATACGCTTTAGGTGAATTGTGAAAGAACAAATGGATCACATCGTATATTTATTTAGAAAAATCCCCTCCGTCTTTTTCTTTTTTCATGTATACACGTCCAATGTACTGCTTATTCCATATTTTTTTTAGATAAAAAATATATAAAAATCGTTGAGATCACTTGTTTTCATAGTAGAAAATGAAAATCAGACTTTCTATGTTAATCTACGAATATTTCCAATCAAAATGTTTTCCTTTTGCACAAATTCTTCTATGTAGAAATGCGTTTTTTCTTTTATTTTCATGAAATTTACCTTTAAAGTAGTCAAAATCGTTCAAATGAAAAATGAAATCAATTTAAAAGTTTCGATATGTGTTCAGAAGAAATAACATTAGAAAAATCTCTCATATTTAGAGAATTTATCTTGAAAATGACAAAGATAACGATACATATATAGACAAGCAAGATAACTAACTCATCATCATCAACAACAACAACAAAAAAACAATTTCTCACTCTTGTAACATTACACAGACAATTTCAAACATCGATTGAGATTTAAATGACACATTATTCAATGTGTCCAACGCACTGGAAATTGATCGATATAGAATCTCTGCATCGTATTTACCGACTGTGTAATTGTACCATTCTCAAAACAAAGAGTTTTTGAAGTCACTCTGACACAAATTTCAATTGATAAATTTACGAATTTTCGATGAAAATAGCAAAAAAGACACTACGAGAAAATAATTGTTTCAACGATATTCAAACTAATGAATTTTATCTTTATTTATTGTCTTAGAAAAGAATGTGTTGCTCTGTAATAGTTAAGACTGTCCATCTGTATTCAAAATATCGATGATGAACATCAAAAATTGCAATTTTAACAATGTTTTGAAAATTTCTCAGTCATAGAAATCGTTAAATCATTGACAATCAACAGATTTCACAATTCGAGATATTCTCTTGCTGCATTTAGTCGAAAATTCTTTGTTTTTCTTTTCTTAAATTATTTTTCAAGGTAAATAAGTCGAAACAGTTATGTCATATTTGACTCTTTTTCCAAAGATAAAACTTCTTTTAAACTTTCATATCGATTAGTTTATTTTTCCTTTTTGTTGTTAAAGAGAATATTTTTCTCGAGAAATTTTGGTTATTACACAGTATCGTATTGAATTGTCTCGCAAAATATTGGTATATGTACATACAAATGTCCATATCTGAGTGTATATGTAGAAAAAGAAAGAAAAAAGAATTGTTCTGATCAGAATAAAAGTCTATTGGTAGAAGAAAAAAAAGTGACGAGCCATAAGAGTGGTCGGTCTATGTCGAGAGTTCGATAATAATTGTGGACATTACACATCCAACAACGGCGGGATGACGACGCAACATATTTAGATGAAGAAAAAGAGAAAAAAACGACCGAGACCGAATAAAGAAAGAAACATAGGTCAACAAACGGGCAACATATATTCTATAGTTAACAAACCTTCTTTTCACGTCAGAGGAAAAAAAAAAGAAGAATCGTTCATAAACATTTCATAATTCTTCTTCTTTTTCTATCGGTCGACATAAAAGAAAAGAAAAAAAAGCTCGACCGACCGATGGATGGACGTTATATATCGGCCATCGCAACGGGTACAATTGTTGCAGCTAAGGGAACACCAACTACTTTTTCTCCTCATTTTTTCTCTCTTTTCTCTCTTCTCTCTCTCTCGTCGCGGGCAGTGAACGATGCTCGTCCAACAACAACATTACGAAAATAATACGTAACTGCGTCGTTGAACGTAGTTGTATGTAGAGAGATGCATCCGCATTATGGATTTGTAGGTTCAACATATGTTGGAAATAATGTTGGAATAAAACAAGTTCAACAAATCTATGGAAATTCAATTCATCATCAACAAGTTCCTTTTTATTCTCAACATTCAAATTATTCCTCAATTCATTCACATCAACAAAGAAATCAACATTATCCATATCAGCAACAACAACAACAACAGCAGCAACAGCAACAAATAAATAATCTCGATCGTAAGGAAATATTCCTTTCCTTAAAGGAAAGGAAACTTTTATTTATTTTCTCGTTAAATAACGAATAAGAACAAAACCAGCTAAAGTACCTTTTTTTTCTTTCTCGTTCTTTCTAAAGCTTCGACTCTGTCGCACTCAGTGCTCTTTTAATAGAAAAGAGAAAAACAAGAATATATATAATAAAGAGAAAAAAACGACGAAGACAACATTTACGTCGTTATTATTTTACTTTGAGATCCAAAGTCTAAAAGAAAGATGTTACAGACTCCGTCAACATTTCCAACTTCAACATTAAAATGTTTATTGGAAAATACTGAAATAGCCGATCTTTTACTAAAAAGTTTTCCTCTTTTAGACGACGAAAACGATTGTAGGATATGGAAATTTTGACAAAGAAAAAAACCAAATAAAAACTCTTTGTTTTTTTCTTTTGTAGTGAAATCGGATAAACAAGGTTTATCAAATGATTTATCATCTAAAGTCGCTTGGAATTCTTCGGCATTTCTTGGTCCAAATCTATGGGATAAAGATCAATTATATAGTGCAAATGGGAATGGAACATTACATTCAGATAAAACAACAATAAATTCAACAACAAATGGAAATTTTAAAGTGGAAAATATCGATATCGATGAATTTCTTTGCGAAAATAATTTAAATTTAAATGATATGGAATCATTTTCAAATCATTTTGAACATGTTGAACAAACAACATCGAATTCACCAAATCAAAATCAAGATAATTTAATTCTTCATTCACCAATGCAAGCAGCACCTGCGAAATCACCTGCGGATGATTCGATTAGTAAGTTTTTCTTTTTCTTTTCATTTCATTTGAAATCTTTTTCTTTGAATAGGTCGTCAATCATCAAGTTCATCACGAAAATATTCCCAAGATGAAGTTTCAACAAAAAATTCAAATGGAAAACAATCGAAAAAATCTCGAAAGGCTCAACATCAATCTAAAGTTCGTTCATAGACAAAAGTTCAATTGAGTCTTATCTTGATATTTGGTTTTCTGTTTAGCAGTTCGTTCCAGATGAACTTAAAGATGAAAAATATTGGGCAAGACGAAGAAAAAACAATTTAGCTGCGAAAAGATCACGAGATGCTCGACGAATGAAAGAAAATCAAATTGCTTTACGAGCTGATTTCTTAGAAAGAGAAAGCGATTTGTTGAAAAAACAATTAGAAGATTTGAAAAGAGAAAATCAAAAATTGAAAATGAAATTAATTCAATATGAATCTTCAATTAAACAGTGACACCAACTTTTCTTTGGCTTTTTTTTCTTTTTCTTTTGCGTTTTTTTTCTCTTTTATTTGTATATCTTGTATTAAACATCATTTTATTTACAAAAAAAAGAATTTAGTAGAGACGAATGTCATTTCGATCGATTTGACCATTTACACCATACATGAACATTTCAATTGATCTTTTTTTGTTTTCAAAAAGAAAAACATGAAAAATGACATAAGACAAAATGAGATTTATCTTACCGAGGATCATTTGAAACAAATCCATTAAACAAATTTTCATCCGAATTTAAACGATCGACGTATAATGAAGGATTTAAAGAATTCTTAATGAAACAAAAGAAAATAAGACTTGATTTTTTTTGTGAGAAAATTCCACTAACTTGTACTCGATGATCGATACTTATTCGTTCTCTTTTGATATTTGATCGATTTGTTAAATTAGGATTAATTGATTGAGATGACATTCCTGGAGGAGGTGGTGGAGCAATTCTTTTCATCAAGAGAAAACAAATCTTTATATAATATATATGAAAATCTGTTTTCATTTACCTTGGTGGTTGTTCTTCATCATCATCTGATGATAAAGTTATTACTGAAACTGATCGTGCTTGTTGTTGCTGCTGTTGTTGTTGAGGTTGAGGTTGAGGTTGAGGTTGAGGTTGAACTGGTTGAGGTTGTTGAAGATTATTTCTTGTATTTTCATTTAAATTGATTTGAAAAGATTCAGATCCAGGTAAATAATGTTGATTTGGAAAATCATTCGTTGTTAAACGACGATTAAACAAACCAACAAATGACGGAGGAATTAATAATTGACTCCATGTTGTGGGATTCTTTTAAAGAAGAAAAAAAGAATGCATTTGGAAAGAAAACCAATTTCTTACATTAATTAAAAATGGTCGATCAGTTGGACCAACAGGAACAAATAAAGGTGTTCCAACTAAATCACAAATGAATTTTAAACAAAAAGAGAAAAAAGAAAAGCAAACCTTGATATGGTGGAATAAAATACGCAGCTGGTGGCAATGGATATGAAACTAAAATTTCATTTCCTGGTGGACGAACAGGGCTTGAAAAGTGATTGATCGGATAGTTTGGAGTCTTTTTACAAACTTCCATCATTTGAACACTTTGTCGAACACTAAATCCAAAGAAATATTAAAAAGAAAGAGAGAAGAGTTGACATACTTATTGCAATTGGCATAATCAACAAGATGATCCATTGTGATGAATGGATGATTTAATGCTTGATTAGGAGTAATTCGTAAATTTTGATCCAAATGAATCATTTTTTTAAGTAAATCAACAAAAAACAATCGATCTAATTTTTCTGCTTGTAATTGATTTGGGAGAAAATCTTGTTTTAAATGAATATGTTGAATATCATCGATATTTTTAAAAATAAATTTTCTTGCTTCTTTGGATTTAATTCCCGTTTCTCTTTCATATTGTTCAGGTGATTTTAATTTCCATTGATAATTATTAAAATAGAAAAATTTCGAAGTTTTTTTTCCTTGTTCCAACAATCGGTGTGAAGCGAGCATCATCGAGCTAGCACCAGAATACGAAAAATCATGTAAAACCTTATGCTCAAGTGAATTCCCGATTTCCCGTCCATAGAACAAAGTGGATGAAATGACGACTTTGTTGATCGAATATCATTTAGTAAACTATCAAATCAATCTAGTATTAACCTTTGACGAAAAAACTCTTACGTCAATGATGACAAAAAATGATTTACTGTGCTAGACTACATAACCATAATATAATGAAAAGATGTTGACTTTTCAATTGAAGAGCATATATGTAATAGTTAATGTATACCTATAATTCCGTATGCGACCTACTCGCCAGACAGTGATCTTGTCCTCGTTTTTGTTATCTCATCCGCGATGACTCCTATATAAGTTGTTATCAATAATGGAAAAGATACGATTGTGAGTGTGCAGATGACACAAGACACCATTATGCTGAAAGGAATAGGCAGTCACTCCCATAATTCGTCCCAATATCCTCCTTTGTTTCTCCCTTTATGTCTGTCTATTTATTTTCTGACAGATTTTATTAATTGATATTATCTTACAGATGGTATCATTGATGTCACATATTCTGTGCAAGTTGTTACGTATCGAAAAATCAAAATGTGTCATGTAGTTCAAGTCTTCGTCATGATGGAAACTTGATTGAACCATGTACATTGAAAATCAAAAGATATGAAATAAATGATCAAATATTTGTTTTCTATTGAAGTGCACAAAAAATTGATTAACGATAAATAAGATAGAAAAGCAAGTTTGTTTCCTTTTCAATGATATTCTCGTGCACAATTAGAAAACTTTTCAAACCGATTTATTTGAAAAGATGAAAATATATTCGATAATAACTTCAAATTGTCATTTGTGATGTTAAGAGGAAAAGTGACAAATTTCTCATGCAAAATAACATTTCTTGGTATCAATTGGAAATTTAAATTGCGAATCGGGTATTTCATCTAAATCCCAATAGGTAATTTTACTTTCGCTTTCTCCTACTAATTTTCCTGTTTTGAGATCATACCATGCCAAAGTCGTTTTAATTGGTCTCGAATCTGCTTGTCTAACATATAATCGACGTTGATAATTCATAAATGAATAAACAGTTTCATTATATGAAATAAACCAAGTCAAACAAGGTCCATCACAGTCTTTATCGAAAATAATTTTGTCATATGTTTTATTTTCTCCGCCAAAAGAATCGACAATACCAGGCCAGATATCAATGTATTTCAGAAATGCACCTCGATTTACAATACATGGATTTGCGGTAGTGAGTTGAAATGTATAAGTACGACCTTCACTAGGAACATAGATTTCTTGAGAACTGCAATTCGCTGGTACAGTCTCAGTTGATGTACATATTTTCGAACTCAATCTCCAACGTATTTTATCAACAGCATAATGTGATCCACCGCTAAAACTAACTTGATATCGAATAGGATTGGGAATTTGACTTGTTGTTAAACCGATCAATGGAGTAATTAATAAGAAAAGTGTAACAATCATTATTGCTTGGATGACTTTGATAAATATTGTATTCGGTTGAATTGGGTTTTTTTTGTTAATCAACAGACTTTATATACAATATCTTTTTTTAAGTATTTCTGCATTGTTTTCTCATATTGAATTACAATAAAGGACACATAAATGCTTTATCATGGTACATCAGTTATTTCGACAATATTCTAAGTACTCCTGACTAAGACTGAGTATTTTTAGTGAAACACATAGTATATAAAAGTACAATAATGAGGAAAGGCTTAAACTTAAGTCTAAATAAATAACTTGCTATAGCTTATGGCATAATTTAAGCTGAATGACGACGTATTTTGTATTCAACTAAATTGCAATGGTCAATCTCTGAAAAAGTTTTCAAACAGACGATCTAACACAAACGATTTTTACATATAACGGCTAAATCGGATTGAATAGTTTCTCATGACTGATTAAACGTTCGAATAGTCTGTTATAGTGTAATGAGAACTGACACTGTATGTCGGTGTGAAGTTAGCACCATGAAACTAAGAATTTTGTGAAAATGAATTACCGTCGATAAAACCGAGTCTATTAGACACCGAATTTAATTCTCAGTCGAAGGCGGATATTTTTATCTACGGGAGAGTGAGAGCGTGAAAAGTTTTAAAAAATGTTTGTTTGTTTTCTATGTATGTATGCGCATCATTATCGATTCCTCTAGAAAACAATCAAATGAAACACTACCTAGTGACATATATCTTCGCCTGTTTTTGAACATCCATCAAAGTACATTCTTCAAAAAATTGCTATTTTTCATTAATTTATCTACTCAGGTCCACCAATCCCATATACGTGGATCCGATCAGATACAATATCGAGTTTCCTGGTTTCCGTTAGACGGATCGAGTAGGTACGCAAGTGCATCTAATAGAACATAGCTAAAAATAAACTTCATCAAATTTGCAGTAACTGACTGAAATCTTGCGGACGGAGTTCAACGCAAATCTGTCACCAAAAGTCCTGTAGGATTTGTGAACCTGGGTATCATATTCGTTCAGTATTAAACTATTCTTCATATATAACAATGGATGAAATTGATCGAAGTTTTCAAGATCATCGACAATTACTTCACTGCTTACTCGATCATTTTAAAAATAATTATCAATAATGCCTAGCTTATTCGCTTCTATTTATTGGTACTCTCTAGATTCTATTTCAAATCGCTTTCCATTCTTTGATATGAATATAATCGTTTTTCGAGTAGTACTCCTTTGCTTCTTCTGAATAATAGAAAAACCTTTCAAAAATGTTTTCGTTGAACATCGTACACTTGAGATCGTCAATCGATTTAAACAACAAACGAAGATAACGGAAGAGAAAAGTTGAACATTATCTTTAGTTATTTATTAGTACTCAGGTTTTACTATGTTGGTGTAGCTTACTCCTGGTGATTTGAGTCAAAATCATCAACAAGCAAGAGATAGCTGTTCTTGAAGAGGAACAATACTGACATCATAATCATCGTATGAATCAATTGATATAGCTCAGAATTTTCCCCATTCGTTGAATGTTTTATTTGCGAAATTTCGCAACTTGAAACAAAAAAAGTCAAAGCATAGATGAAAACGTTTGTTTATTATTTTGACTAAAGAATTGTTTTATTTCTTTCATTCAATAATACGTTTACATCAATATTTTCGTGTTTACAAACTCATAGCTGAGGAAGAATTTCCTGGTGAGGGTTGAGCAATATTGATCACTTTCTTCTCTAATAATAGAATTTCTTCTTTAAATTTGTTGATAAATTGTTCGTTATGGACGTTTCCAACATTCCACATGTTAATTAATGAGTTCATCTTACCAAACGTCGTCCCAACTGTTGTGTACATTTCTTCAGTTTAAAAAGTAAAAATAGAAATAGTACATACAGATTCACCTGAAAGAAGGATCACTTTATTGGCTCCTAATAGCCATCTAGATCAGTGAATATTGTCCAGGAATAGAAATATAGAAGAGTGAGTTGCAGTCTGGCGGAGAAAGAAAAAGAATGCCCTCATCGAAAGAAAAGGCAAAACTGAATCGCAAAAAATGACGGAGGAAATTATTCTTAGACGTCAGCCATGATGGTTACAGTAGAAATAATCTATCATCAACATCTATGCTTGAGATGTAATTGGTAATACTATTCATCAGCAAAAACAGGTATCTTTGTTCTTTTCAACACTACTTCAGATTTGGTTTCATATGTAAACAGCCTATACGTACCTTACATGGTTTTGAAACATTCGACATTCTTGATCGACATGTATTCAGAATTTCATTGTACTTCTCATTATGATTATCACGAACATGACACCAAAATTCATTGAATTTGTCGATGGTAAGTTCGTCCGCTTCGTTCTCAACGCAAAAATGACAATCTTGCCAGGTCGAAAAATCCGGCGCGGGAACCGCCAAAACCGAGCCAATCCAACAAAATCCCTCAAAACACCAGTCACGCTAAAAAGAAACATAATCGCATACTACCAAAAACCCACAAAAAGACCCTATACGAATCCATTCTACTAACAGCGAAGAGAGGAACTAGTAAAAACCCTCCGAGCGTTTGAAACAAGCCCACCGTGAATACCATAAAAACATACACTACCGACAATCGAATTACACTTCGATCCAGGATTTCACCTTGTCTTGTAAGATTCCGATCGACTTGGGCAACAGAACGCAGGACTGCATGATGGTTTACACAGTGGATTGCAACATTGCCAATGGATTCCCCTGAATTGCAGGATTACCAATGGGCTGCAATCTCGATTGTAATCGGATTGCTAATCCTTGAAACTGGGGTGTCTAGGGTGTGTAGTTTTTAGGTTAGTTTTTGTAGGAAGTTCGATATTAAAAGCGGGAAGAAGTTGGAAAAAATGGGATCTGTAGTCTTATCTTTGTTCACGATTGGTTACGTTTCGCCGGTTCAGATGGATACTTTCCAGCTATGGGCGGTTCTTAGTTTAAGGAAACGGTTGGATACTGGGTGTGGTGCGGGAAGAGCAAGGATCTTTTAGGAAATATGCGGGAAACTTTTTGGCGACTGTAGTATTGTATGTTTCCGTAGGGTTATGTCCTGACCCGGCTGTTTTATATGAGGTTATTTTTAATCGGATTTTTGCGGCACTAATGTTTTCCATGAGGATATGAGGGGGAACCGGTCGGAATGAGCCGGAAAAGGACTGCTTTCCCTTCGGCTCCGATTGTATCCGGAGGCCAGAACGTTCGTCCTGGGTTGTTCATTATCGTTTTTCTTTTCGTCATAAGTTGGACATGTGAAATTACCATGTGAATCTACATAAATAAATCTGTCGATTTGTTACAAAGATTTTTTAATCTCACTAGTTTTATAAAATCCAAAATAGAATTTACGAATTATCTCGTGGTCAGACATCCTTTCTCAACTGGTTGATTTCACTGAATGTAAAAGAAGACGTGCATATACACATAAATAAATGTGTAGCCGCGGACGAAAAAGAAAACATTATGTTGTGACATGACGGTTCGAGATAAATTTTTCGTCCCAAAGAAATAACAAGTAACGCTCATCCTTTGGATTCGCTGACCCTTTTCTGAAAGACTTTTCCGAATGCTGAACACATTCAGAGACTTCGAAAGAGAAAAAACGCACTGCGATTGCTACTAGTGCTCAACTGAATCATGGTACTATGTCACCCTCTAGAACTAGAATAAATAGGATACAGAGGTCTTTCTAGGAATCAGACCGATTAGCCATTTGTCACTGGATAATTCTCCAGCACTAACTATGTTGACTGAAAAATTCATCGCTCAACGGCTAGTCAGTCGGCCACTCACGGCCAACCATTGACCTTTGTCATCTGTTTTTCTATTTTCACATCACGCGCATGGAAATTTTCATAAATGCTTTACTAAGTCACTCATCGACGGACGATATACAGTAGACTGCTTGAAAAGTGTCAACATTCGCCTGTGTCTTCCAGCGATAAACCGATTCTTTTCTCGCCTGTCAACAAAATGATACCTTGTCGAATATTTTCATTGAGGAATATTCATTCGTCAAATCCATTTCCAAATTATCTGAAGCCTGGCAAGGTTATTCTAAGCGTACACTTTAGGATTAATCTAGCATTTAAACACCTAGTCGTTCGTCGACCTCCCTCTGGTCGGTCACTCACGGCTAGCCGTTGACACACATGATCAGTTTTCATAGTTTTTCCATATAAAGAAGTAGCTTGTTGATACTGAGTCGATCTGTGATCGAAGCTATCAAAACCCTTCGTAACTGTGTAGTTTACAGTGCATATTCTATTACTCTGTTCAATTTGAAGCGCTGATAATGTGCAATCCCTATTCTCGAAGCTCGAAAGCACATCAATTATGTTCGTTCAAAAACCATTGGCTTTAGTTGAGACGGTGATAAATCTCATCTTTCAATTAATTTTCAAAACAAACGTCTAGTCGTTCGTCGACCTCCCTCCGGTCGGTCACTCACGGCTAGCCGTTACCATGTTGTCTCTGTTATTCCTTTCGCCTTTGATCAACTTTCAAACTGAATGACTGGGTTTTCCTTTATTGTCGCTTCAACAGTCATGATCTTCTATTCATTCGACTACCCAAAGAAACTAGATAAGAAAGTCTTATTGTATGATTTGTTTCGAAACGAACATCTTTCATAGCGCTGCAGGTGTTCAGGATACTGTTTCTACAGTCCACGCGTCTGTAGTTACTAAGATGGAATTCCACCGACGGGTATATCGCTTTGCGAACCACTTCTACTAAATTCCCATGAAAGAGCATGATGGATGTAGCCTACAAAACAAAGATGATACTAAGCTCATATCACTTTTTCGGATTTCTTCAATTAGAAACATCATTATGTACAATGCATTAGATCTTTTCGTGTAAGTTCTTGACCTACTATCTTTGTACGCATGACGTCCGTGAATAGCATTCAGCTCACTATCTTCTACAAAAGATTTTCGAATAGATACAGAAAAAATATCTCCTTTGTAAATAGGAAGGAACAAGCCCAGGCTCAGCGAATAAGACGAAATTCACCCTCAAATTCGAATTTCCCGACGCCAGAAATCCTTCGGTCTACTCTGACAATGGATGTTAATAAGTCGTGGCTAGTTAATGAAAAATTAATAGTTAATTAAGCAACACTAATGTCGGATTCGAGATCCTCGACCCTGATTACTCTTCGGTCAACTCTTACTTGACAACGAAGAAAATTTACATTACTTAATTAGCTAATGAGTTAATTAGAATTTCGAGAAACTAACCTCGGATTCGTGATCCTCGACCCTGATTACCCTTCGGTCGACCCTTACTTGACAACGAAGAAAATTTACATTACTTAATTAGCTAATTAGCTAATGAGTTAATTAGAATTTCGAGAAACTAACCTCGGATTCGTGATCCTCGACCCCGATTACCTGTCATCAGTCATTNAATGCTTGATTAGGTGTAATTCTTAAATTTTGATCCAAATGAATCATTTTTTTAAGTAAATCAACAAAAAACAATCGATCTAATTTTTCTGCTTGTAATTGATTTGGGAGAAAATCTTGTTTTAAATGAATATGTTGAATATCATCAATATTTTTAAAAATAAATTTTCTTGCTTCTTTAGATTTAATTCCCGTTTCTCTTTCATATTGTTCAGGTGATTTTAATTTCCATTGATAATTGTTAAAATAGAAAAATTTCGACGTTTTTTGTCCTTGTTCTAACATAATTTGTGAAGGTAAACCTTGTGTTTGTGATATATATCTAATTTGATCATATTCTGATGAACCTGGATAAAGTGGCCAACCAAGAAAAAGTTCAGCCATAACACAACCAAGTGACCACATATCAATTGATTCATTAAATGGTAGACCAAGAAGAATTTCAATAGCACGATAATAACGTGATTGAAGATAAGTTGATTGAATAGCTTTTTCAACAGGTGATGCACTTCCAAAATCAATTAATTTTACTTTAAATGGTTGTCGACGTGGATCTAATAACATAATATTTTCTGGTTTTGTATCTGCATGAATAAGACCTAATTGTTTTAATTTAGCTAAAGCAACACACACTTGTTGAATAATTGGACGAATTGATTTTAACGGAAGTGGAGAAAACTTTTGTTGTTTTAAATAATCATATAAATTTTGTTCTAACATTTCAAAAACAAGACATGTGTGATTCTTATGTGTAAACACTTCATATGCACGAACTAAATTAAATTGATCAGCATTTTCTTGACCAAGACGTGATAAAATTGAAACTTCAATTTGTCCTTGACGAGCATATGATGGATGATTTTTTAAGATTTTTATTGCTACAACTTCATTTGTACCTTTTTTCCAACATTTGACCACTTGTCCAAATGTTCCTCGACCTAAGTATTCTAAAACTTCATAAGAATTTGTCATTGAATATAAAATTTCATTTTGAACTAATTGATAATCTCCATCGTTTGTTGAATTTGTTGTTGTATTCTTTGAATTTAATGTTTCACAATGTTTTCGTTTTTTCTGATTTGTCGATGTATTTGTATTTGAATCAGATGGAGTTTGATCGTCAAGTACGAGATGATGATGAATATGATGATGATGAACATGTGTATGAGTTGATGAAGAATTATTTTCACGTTTTATTGAACTATTTTCTAAACGACTTTTCTTTTTTTCATTGTTATTTGATTCTTCATACGACCAATTATCATTTCCCGAATACATCTTCTTCTTCTTCTTCTTGTTTAACAAATAACTATTCTATCAATGATCATCAAGAAATAAATAAAAATCCACCTAGTGACATCTCTTTTTTTACAATTTTATTGGTCTCTTCTTTAATGTTGACCTTTTAGATCAGAATAACTCATTTATTAAATATTTCATAAAAATCTCTTGAAAAAGTTAATCAAAAATATTTAAGTAGAATAAATATTCGACAAAAAAACTTGTAAGAACTCTTATCAGGTTGAAATCGGTCACAGAGTACAACATTTTTATTTGTCATCTGTTCTCATTGCATCTGTTGTTACATAACGACGTGGACATTTTGAGAAATCATTCAGAACAGAATACATGTAAAAGTTAAACTTTGTTGATTCAAATATTATTTCATAAATCAGTATATTATTCGGGTATTGATTTTCGATACGATTAAGACTTTTTTTCTCTAGACTCCACATAATCACATAACATGATGAAAAGGCACCGATTTCTGAATAAAAAAAAACCATATTCTCTTTTGTTTCCTTCTTTATCTCTTTATTTTCTATCATATTTCATTGACGTCACGTATTCTACGCCAGTTGCGCGATGCTTTCAAATCTCATACAATAGAATGTCTTATTAAAACACGTAGGTCTACAATTAAAAAATCTGTGAAATAAATAAGTACATATTTTCTTCATATTGGAGTTCACAAATTGATTAACAATGAATTTCTATTCTACGGTTAGGTGGATGAGAATGAGAAGTCGCGATTGAGATACAAAAGTTAGTAACTTGATTTTGAGCATTATCTAGACAATAGTCTCCTCCACGTACGTAAAATTTCTCAAACTGTTTCGAAATTGATTTATTCGAATAGGAAAATATCTGACATAACAACTTTATTCATCAAGTTTATGATATTCATTTCTCATGGATTTTACAACTTCAAATTGTCATTTGTGATGTTAAGAGAAAAAATGACAATTTTCTTATGCAAAATAACATTTCTTGGTATCAATTGGAAATTTAAATTTCGAATCGGGTATTTCGTCTAAACTCCAATAGGTAATTTTATTTTCGGTCTGCGAGAATAATTGTCCTGTTTTGAGATCATATATCGTCGAAGTAGTCTTAATTGGTCTTGAATCTGCTTGTCTAATATATAACCGACTTTGATAATTCATAAATGTATAGATAGTTTCATTGTGTTGAGTAAACCAAGTCAAACAAGGTCCATCACAGTCGTTATCGAAAATAACTTTGTCGTATGTTTTATTTTCTCCGCCATATTTGTCGACAATACCAGGCCAGATATCAATGTATTTCAGAAATGCACCTCGATTTACAATACATGGATTTGCGGTAGTGAGTTGAAAATTATAAGTGCGACCTTCGTTGGGAACGTAGATTTCTTGAAAGCTACAACCCGATGACAGAGTTTCGTGTGATGAACATATTTTAGAACTCAATCTCCAACGTATTTTATCAACGGCATAATGGGAACCACCTTCAAAACTAACTTGATATCGCATAGGATTGGGAATTTGACTTGTTGTTAAACCGATCCATGGAATAATCAATAGCAAAAGTGTAATAATCATTATTGCTTGGATGACTTTGATAGATATCGTATTCATTTCAATTGATGTGTTGATAGAAAAATGAGCTTTATCTACAATTTCATTTATAGATATTTTTTCGCAGTTTTCAGACGCGAGATTACACATGATGAATAAATGCTTTATCATGCTGCAGAAGCTATTTCAAAAAATTTACAAGTACCCCTGACTAAGACTAAGTATTTTTAGTGAAACACATAGTATATAAAAGTGCAATAATGAGGAAAGGCTTAAACTTAAGTCTAAATAAATAACTTACTATAGCTTATGGCATAATTTAAGCTGAATGACGAAGTATTTTGTATTCAACTAAATTGCAATGGTCAATCCCTGAAAGAGTTTTCAAACAGACGATCTAACACAAACGATTTTTACATATAACGGCTAAATCGGATTGAATATTTTCTCATGACTGATTAAACGTTCGAATAGACTGTTATAGTATAATGAGAACTGACACTGTTATGTCGGTGTGAAGTTAGCACCATGAAACTAAGAATTTTGTGAAAATGAATTACCGTCGATAAAACCGAGTCTATTAGACGCAGAATTTAATTCTCAGTCGAAGACGGATATTTTTATTTATGGGAGAGTGAGAGCGTGAAAAGTTTTTTAAAATGTTTGTTTGTCTTCTATGTATGTATACGCATCATTATACGACATTCGGCACGCAATTTCTCTGCACAGAATGAATTCCCGTCCATATAAACGTGTCCATTCGACGGGAATTCGTTTTCACAAAATTTTTAGTTTCATGGTGTTAACTTCGCATCGATCCATTGTATCATCATTATCGATTCCTCTAGAAAACAATCAAATGAAACACTACCTAGTGACATATATATATATATTCGTCTGTTTTTGAACATCCATCGAAGTACATTCTTCAAAAAATTGCTATTTTTCACTAATTTATCTACCCAGGTCCACCAATCCCATACTTGGATCCGATCATATACAATATCGAGTTTCCTAGTTTCCGTTAGACGGATCGAGTAGGTACGCAAGTGCATCTAGTAGAACATAGCTAAAAATAAACCTCATCAAATTTGCAGTAACTGACTGAAATCTTGCGGACGGAGTCCAATGCAAATCTGTCACCAAAAGTCCTGTAGGATTTGTGAGCCTGGGTATCATATTCGTTCAGTATTAAACTATTCTTCATATATAACAATGGATGAAATTGATCGAAGTTTTCAAGATCATCGACAATTACTTGACTGCTTACTCGATCATTTTAAAAATAATTATCAACAATGCCTAGCTTATTCGCTTCTATTTATTGGTAATCGTCTAGATTCTATTTCAAATCGCTTTCCATTCTTTGATATGAATAATCGTTTTTCGAGTAGTACTCCTTTGCTTCTTCTGAATAATATAAAAAACCTTTCAAAAATGTTTTCGTTGAACATCGTACACTTGAGATCGTCAATCGATTTAAACAACAAACGAAGATAACGGAAGAGAAAAGTTTGAACATTATCTTTAGTTATTTATTAGTACTCAGGTTTTGCCATGTTGGTGTAGCTTATTCCTAGTGATTTGAGTCAAAATCATCAACAAGCAAGAGATAGTTGTTCTTGAGGAGGAACAATACTGACATCACAATCATCGTATGAATCAATTGATATAGCTCAGAATTTTCCCCATTCGTTGAATGTTTTGTTTGCAAAATTTCGCAACTTGAAACAAAAAAAAGTCAAAGCATAGATGAAAACGTTTGTTTATTATTTTGACTAAAGAATTGTTTTATTTCTTTCATTCAATAATATGTTTACATCAATATTTTCGTGTTTACAAACTCATAGCTGAGGAAGAATTTCCTGGTGAGGGTTGAGCAATATTGATCACTTTCTTCTCTAATGATAGAATTTCTTCTTTAAATTTGTTGATAAATTGTTCGTTATTGACATTTCCAACATTCCACACGTTAATTAATGAGTTCATCTTTTCAAGCGTAGCTCCAACTGTTGTGTACATTTCTTCAGTCTAAAAAGTAAAAATAGAAATAGTACATACAGATTCACGTGAAAGAAAGATCACTTTATTGACTCCTATAGCCATCTAGATCGGTGAATGTTGTCCAGGAATAGAAATATAGAAGAATGAATTGCAGTCTGGCGGAGAAAGAAAAAGAATGCCCTCATCGAAAGAAAAGGCAAAACTGAATCGCAAAAAATGACGGTGGAAATTATTCTTAGACGTCAGCAATGATGGTTACAATAGAAATAATCTATCATCGACATCTATGCTTGAGATGTAATTGGTAATACTGTTCATCAGCAAAAACAGGTATCTTTGTTCTTTTCAACACTACTTCAGATTTGGTTTCATATGTAAACAGCTTATACGCACGTTACATGATTTTGAAACATTCGACATTCTTGATCAACATGTATTCAGAATTTCGTTGTACTTCTCATTGTGATTATCACGAACATGAGACCAAAATTCATTGAATTTGTCAATGGTAAGTTCGTCCGCTTCGTTCTCAACGCAAAAATGACAACATTGTTCATTATCGCTTTTCTTTTCGTCATAAGTTGGACATGTGAAATTACCATGTGAATCTACCCAGGTCGATCATTCCGGCGACTGGATCCGTTGAAATCTGAGTCCGTTCCGGCACAGTTTTCGCCGATTCCAGCTCGAAGTTTGCAGGAAATGGTCGGAAAACGAACCTAAACGGCCGGAACCGACCGTGCCATAATAACCTGAGTACATAAAGAAATCTATCGATTTGTTACAAAGATTTCAATCTCACTAGTTTTATAAAATCCAAAATAGAATTTACGAATTAATTCTTGGTCAGACATCCTTTCTCAACTGGTTGATTTCACTAAATGTAAAAGAAGATGTGCATATACACATAAATAAATGTGTAGCCGCGGACGAAAAAGAAAACATTATGTTGTGACATGACAGTTCGAGATAAATTTTTCGTCCGAAAGAAATAATAAACATTATCGCTCCTTATGAAAGTTCGGTCAGCCTTGTTGACTATCTATCACATAACACATTGGATTCATTGATCGAGACGACATTCCAGGTGGAGGTGGTGGAGCAATTCTTTTCATAAATAGAAAAGAAATCTTTATAGAATATTTACAAAAATCTTTTTCATTTACCTTGGTGGTTGTTCTTCATCATCATCTGATGATAAAGTTATGACTGAAACTGATCGTGTTTGTTGTTGTTGTTGTTGTTGTTGAGGTTGAACTTGAACTGGTTGTGGTTGTTGAAGATTATTTCTTGTATTTTCATTTAAATTAATTTGAAATGATTCAGATCCAGGTAAATAATGTTGATTTGGAAAATCATTCGTTGTTAAACGACGATTAAATAAACCAACAAATGATGGAGGAATTAATAATTGACTCCATGTTGTAGGATTCTTTTTAAAAAGAAAAAAGAAAAAACATTTGATGAATTTCGAATAAAAAAAAACAAATTGTTACATTGATTAAAAATGGTCGATCAGTTGGACCAACAGGAACAAATAAAGGTGTTCCAACTAAATCACAAATGAATTCAAACGAAATGAGAGAAAGACAAAAAGAGAAAGCAAACCTTGATATGGTGGAATAAAATATGCAGCTGGTGGTAATGGATATGAAACTAAAATTTCATTTCCTGGTGGACGAACTGGACTTGAAAAGTGATTGATTGGATAGTTTGGAGTTTTTTTACAAACTTCCATCATTTGAACACTTTGTCGAACACTAGAAATAAACAGAAATGTTGATGAGAAAGAGAGAAGAGTTGACGTACTTATTGCAATTGGCATAATCAACAAGATGATCCATTGTGATGAATGGATGATTCAATGCTTGATTAGGTGTAATTCTTAAATTTTGATCCAAATGAATCATTTTTTTAAGTAAATCAACAAAAAACAATCGATCTAATTTTTCTGCTTGTAATTGATTTGGGAGAAAATCTTGTTTTAAATGAATATGTTGAATATCATCGATATTTTTAAAAATAAATTTTCTTGCTTCTTTGGATTTAATTCCCGTTTCTCTTTCATATTGTTCAGGTGATTTTAATTTCCATTGATAATTATTAAAATAGAAAAATTTCGACGTTTTTTGTCCTTGTTCTAACATATGTTGTGAAGGTAAACCTTGTGTTTGTGATATATATCTAATTTGATCATATTCTGATGAACCTGGATAAAGTGGCCAACCAAGAAAAAGTTCAGCCATGACACAGCCAAGTGACCACATGTCAATTGATTCATTAAATGGTAAACCAAGAAGAATTTCAATTGCACGATAATAACGTGATTGAAGATAAGTTGATTGAATAGCTTTTTCGACAGGTGATGCACTTCCAAAATCAATTAATTTCACTTTAAATGGTTGTCGACGTGGATCTAATAACATAATGTTTTCTGGTTTTGTATCTGCATGAATAAGACCTAATTGTTTTAATTTCGCTAAAGCAACACACACTTGTTGAATAATTGGACGAATTGATTTTAACGGAAGTGCAGAAAACTTTTGTTGTTTTAAATAATCATATAAATTTTGTTCTAACATTTCAAAAACAAGACACGTGTGATTCTTATGTGTAAACACTTCATATGCACGAACTAAATTGAATTGATCAGCATTTTCTTGACCAAGACGTGATAAAATTGAAACTTCAATTTGTCCTTGACGAGCATATGATGGATGATTTTTCAAGATTTTTATTGCTACAACTTCATTTGTACCTTTCTTCCAACATTTTACCACTTGTCCAAATGTTCCTCGACCTAAGTATTCTAAAACTTCATAAGAATTTGTCATTGAATATAAAATTTCATTTTGAACTAATTGATAATCTCCATCGTTTGTTGAACTTGTTGTTGTATTCTTTGAATTTAATGTTTCACAATGTTTTCGTTTTTTCTGATTTGTCGATGCATTTGTATTCGAATCAGATGGAGTTTGATCGTCAAGTACGAGATGATGATGAATATGATGATGATGAACATGTGTATGAGTTGATGAAGAATTATTTTCACGTTTTATTGAACTATTTTCTACACGACTTTTCTTTTTTTCATTGTTATTTGATTCTTCATACGACCAATTATCATTTCCTGCATACATCTTCGTCTTCGTCGTCTTCTTGTTTAACAAATAACTATTCTATCAATGATCACCAAGAAATAAATAAAAATCCACCTAGCGACATCTCTCACTAGACAGTTTCATTGGTTTCATTTTATCTGTTGACCTTTTATATTAAGACAACTCATATATAAAATATTTGATAAAAATCTCGTGAAAACCCTTTAAAAAAACTATTTAATTGAAATAAATATTTGAACAAAAATTTCTGAGAAGTTTTATTAAACTAACATCGATCACGAGAACAACATTCCAACTCTCATCTCATTGTATTTCTCGTTCGCGTTCTATTGAGTCTGTTACATAACACATTATTTTGAGAAACAACTCAGAACAAAGTGCGTGAAATGACGACGTTGCTGATCAAATATGATTTAGTAAACTATCAATAGACTAAACAATTCTATATAATTATGATGAAAAAAATATTCATTTATCAATTGAAGAACAGATTTTCTTTTGTCTCTCTCTCTCTCTCTCTCTCTCTTTGTCTATTGATATATTTTCTATCTGATGTTATTAATTGAGATTATCTT